AACAAAGTCGAGAGGCTAATAAGAGAAAGCAGAGTACTGTACGTTATGTAACTCGGCGCAAACACTTTGACCCACGACAGGAGAGCCTGCCTGCAAACTTAGCTAGCGATAGTGAACAAGCTAACCCAGCTAAGCTAAGTTAGTTAGCTATTAGGCAGCGACTGGAGAAGCTCGGATAAACAGCGATTATTTTCCAACTCCCTGAATGGGCTAAAAATGCCCTGACAGGTTTACTTAAGTTAAATGGCATATCACACAGTGACGTTACGATGTCAAAACAGTCAAAATATGGACTGGTTGTTGAATCGTGACTGAGCTAGCGAACATGCTAATGCTACCCAAAACAGTCCAGGCAGGCAGAGGGGAGTTAGCGTTAGCTTAGCTTAGCATAGCAATCTTGAGCTCGTATTTCCCAGCAACAAATAACTCAAATGACCCTGGACCATATTATCTCGGTGTCATGTTCCTTAATAACTTGATAGGCAAGCATTTTTTATTTGTGGATTGATTTAACGCCGCGCTATGACGTTCCTTATCTACACTAGCCCAATGCTATTCCAGAAGTAGCTTAGCACAGCTAACCTAGCGACATTGGCTGGACGAAGCTGAAAGTCAGCCTCTTATTAGTCACCTTCCACCTTAAATTTCACAACAGTTACATTCTGGTGCCTGAGGCGCCAGCGCGTAACTGCTGCACCGTTTAAGGTGGAACGGGAACATTCCAACAAGACACTAGCGATTAGGAAGCCAACTTCAGCCTCGTATTTTGGCTGGCTAACCACAGCCATGACAGGAGCAAGTTTCGGTTTTGCTGCCTCCTGCTTTAAACCTCTAAACACTACGTTACAGCTACACTGCGGCTCGTTTCGGGGGGAAACCTCACGTTTAAATGAAGGAATTTTACGCTGGGGTCGAGAATGAATAAGGTCAGAAATGTGGGAACACGGCTGCCCGTGTGAAAAAAACAGTAAAAAGGCCCCGTGTGGATCCCGCGGCTCACCAGTTGGTCATGTCTAGGAAGAAGGCGCAGCCAGCGGGGTTGAGCTGGAAGCCCAGCAGTCTTTGGAATTCAGAGATGAGGACATCTTTGTCCGTGGTGCCCATGCAACTGAACTTCTGCATGAGCTCCTGGTCCAGGTCTATGTCCATGCCCTCCATCGGCGGCTGTCCCGGGGCAGCGACGGGAGAAGTTTTTTAATTTAATCCGAGGCCTTCTCCACTCATAACAACCGAGTCAACAACAAGCTCAGTACGCATGGCTGAGGGCCACGCGTGACGTCACCCGGCGGAGCGGAGGGGCACGTCAGCTGTTGCTATTCTGAGGGGGGTAAAAGAACGAACCTGTTTTACTCCCAGAGAGGGCTGAATGCGCTCCTTTCCTCCATTTTCTGCCCCCCCCACCCCTAAAAAATGACGTGAGCTTTCGGTTTCCTATTTCCCCCCTCAACGTCATAACCAATTCCGATAGAGCAATATTGGAGGGGATAGAAGATGCTGTGCTATTTTCCTCCCTGCATGCATGTTATTTGTAGAGCTCCTCTATCAGGTGCTCCATAAAGGGGCCATCATTTGTTTATATCAATATATCATAGCCACAATATACAAAACATACAAAACTGCACTGCATCTTTAAAGGGGAATTCCACCAATTTTTCAAAATGTCTTAAAAATTCACAGTGGTGAATGGTGTGAAATTGTTAATTGCAGAGAAGCTTACAGACTCTGATTTCTTTACAGTGGTGGTGACAGAACCAGGAGTTGCCATGTCTACAACACAAATATAGCCATTTTATTTACTATCCAAAACAACCAGTGAACTTACACATGCCTTCTGAGTTTTTATTTAATGTTAATGGTGTAAATCTGAAAAGTTTTCTTTGGGGACTATTTAACCTTACAAGGGCCTGTGTGTGCCCTTCTGCCATTAATGGATTAAAATAAAGGAATTAAAATACATTTTAAGCCACAACTTGATCACGAAAGTATCATAAAACATTGTGTCAGACATTAGACAGCATGTATTTAACCATTTCACGTAATGACGTTCTGTGAGGGAGCTTTTAGAGGTGGATGTCTGGTTCCTGTCACCACCACCATGAACAATTCTGACTCAGCAAGTTTCTCTAGAAAAATCAGTGGAGTTCCCCTTTAATAAGCTGCAACACTGTTGTGTTTTGGGCATATTATTCATCCCTCTTTCTACTGTGGGATATCTAGGGGTATTTGACCACCCCTTTCAGCAGCTTTGCGTAGTCTACTGCAGAGGTTCCCAAACCCCTTCCTGGCAACCTAACACTGTTCATTTTTTGCTCTGTCTCATTAAGCACACCTGATTCAACTTCTTAACTAATTAACAAGAGCCTTGATGGCGGGATCAGGTGTTTAGAATGTGCGTAGAGTCGCCAGGACTGGGATTGGGAATCTCTGGTCGACCGCAGTGTCTGCTTATTCAGCTTCAAATGCTTATTTCTGCTTGTTTACACGTAACATAGCCACGACATGATAGTGACTGTCCCCACTTCTACTGGACACTTTTGTGAGCAGTTGTGAGTGTTCATTGATCAGTCACAAACAGCTGTGAGACTAATGACAGACACTGGACTTTGCTTTGTCTTGAAGTCATGAGACCTGATTGATTTATATGATCAATGCAGCCAGTAAGCAAGTTTTTACAGAAAACCAGAACCTGCATATATTTTGTCCCTGCTTGTCCTGCTTGTGCACGTTCCACCAATTTCTCACATTTTTCAGTAAATTCAATTGCTGAAATGTGAAAAAAGTCATTCAGTTTTAGTGGTTTGATGCGAAATTATTTATTGTAGGGAAACTTACTGACTTTCTGTACACTGTAAAAAAATGGCTCGTCAGATCAACCTAAAAAAATTAATTCATGTGGTAACAAGTAAATTAACTAGTTTTATTCAACTTAAATAAATACTTAGAATGAACGATTCTTCGAATCAATATAATTTTTTGAGTTGGATAAAACTAGTTCATTTGCTTGTTACCACATAAAGTAATTTTTTTAGGTTGATCTGATGAGCCATTTTTTGCAGTGTACTTTGGTGGTGATAGAAACCAGGGGTCATGATGTCTGCAACTCAAATATAGCCAGTTTTTATCTGTTTTTCTATGTAATAATGCTAAATGAGCGATTAAATTTGAAAGAAAAGTTTTCAAGTGATCTTTCTTTTTTGTTTAATGATATAATTATACAGACATTTTGAACGTTAAAATTCTCCTTTAACACTAGTTAATGCAAAACACCATTAAAAAAGCAATAATGTGTTCCATTCTTCACTTATATTCCTTAATACCTATTGAATAATAGACCATTCTGGCCTAAAACTAGAATCTAATACACTTTAAAAAAATGTCTCATCAGTTCAACCTAAAAAAATTACTTCATGTGGGAACAAGCAGTTGAACTAGTTTGATTCAACTAAAAAAATGTTCATTCAAAGTATTTTTTTAGGTTTAACTGATGAGCAATTTTTACAGTGTATGTTATTTGTTATGTTATGTATTACTTTGTAGCTCAGCACTGCACCCACAGGCTCATCTGTTTTCCTTTTTTACAAAGTTTACGATTTTGTATCATTTTCATGTTTTTTGTCCATCAGTGTTCTCTCACTACAGTTCCTAGCATGTATTATGCAAATATATCATTAGGAATCAATCATTGGGAATTCTTACAGTGCTCAACAAATCCTGACTGCTAACTACTGATCTAGAGGCTAATGTATACTAGCTATGTGGTGGTAGCTAGCAGTAGTCATATTGAATAACTCAGTTTACTGTAAAACTTTTTTTCTTTATTAAAGGAATACAGATGAAGAATTAGCCAACAATAAACAAACAAACAAACAAATAAATAAATATCAAAGAGCCTGCCCCCAAGGATCTAGCCAATGGCGCTTATAGTCTTTCAAAATTTACTTCCACCTTCAAGATGCATCATCAGAAGGGGTTTTTTCTGATCTTTAATCAGGGAAAGCTCACTTTAGACACTGCTACAGGACCTCTGTAAGAAGCAAACAGACATGTTTACAACAGATCTAGCAATGGTAAAAATTGTATGTTATCCAAAGTGTCCCTTGAAGTTGAACAAGTTAGGCTTGTCATTTAGGCTCGTCCACTCATGACAGCAGCTATTTCCCCAGAATTTTTAGCCCTTTAGATTCCCAGTAGCTTATTCCATCCTGAAGGTTAACATTTAAGGAAAACAGTTCAAACTGTCTGAGCTCTTACTGTTATAGGAGTGAGGAATGTACAATCTAAGAGTTAAACATTTTATTTTTTTACATATTGTGGCTTTCTCACTATAATTTTGACCAAGTCCTCTCAGAAAATGATCTGAGTGTGGTTTTATCATTGTAATGTAGAGCAATTTCTCTCTGAAAACTATGACAGAGTGTGTGCCACCTACACAGACACACACATAGCCTGAATGGTCAGACCCACCATCCAGCACGGGTACAGACTCCCAGTGCCTCAGTAACCTGATTAGTCGGCCTGTCAGTAAGAATAAGACCAGGCCTTGGATCCCCAGAGCAGGAGCCAGTCCATCCTCAGCCACAGACAGGAGACAAAGCAGGCTAGCAGGGCCAGCCAGCAAAGGAGCGGCAGATCTCAACAAATAATCTCCCAGGGTGAGGCAAGCAATTTTTCTCTGTGTATTTATGTCTGTTTGCTTTGTTATTTTGTTTGTGCTCTAACAAGTAGGGCCTTTCATAGCAGACACAGACAAAAGCAAAGCAAACTTTAATCTTCGCACATTTACCACTAACTGCTCTGTGTGTAACAGGCATCTCCACACAGCGTTGCTTCTGAAAAGCTGTGGCACATTTTTTCGGTTGACTGGTTGAATATAACTGTGTGTATCTAGTAGTTTGCTTAAGGGGAGTTTCAGGTGGCGCATTCCTGTCTTTAGTTAAGACAAAGAGGAGAGGTGGTGGTGGGGGGCTGAGAGACTGGCAAAAAAAAGATAGAGGGGGAAGGAAACGGCTGTTTAAAAAACTCTAGGAGTTTCTCAGCAAGGGGGAGGGCAGCAGGACGCAAACTGTGGGTGGACCCTGATAAAAGAGTCAAAGCTGGCGACCTTAGTGTTTAAAAACATTGCAAGCAACTGTGCACAGACTGGACTTTAAAGGGGCTTAATGGTCCCTCTATAATTCCCCAGATAATACAGGCTTACGCTGATAACGACAGGACCAGGACCGTCTGTCTGGTGATCGGAGGTAAAGAGGATTTGCTCCACAGCAGGGGCCTCTGACCAGACCCCATCACTGCCATTTCTGCTGCATATTCCGGCCTTATTGCAGCCATGTCTGCTCTGCTGCTGGACGCTGACTCCAACCGTGCCACATCTCTGGACCTGGCCGAAGATGAAGCTGTGCGCTCACCCGAGCTACCCTCTCAGGCCAGAAGGAGGCCACCTGGGCACCTGAAGTTGACCCGCAGCCTCTCCAAGTCAGACTCGGACCTGCTGGTGTCGCCCTATTGTGAGGAGGACGGGGCACTGGGTGGACGGAGTGAGTCGCTGGCCAGCTGCAAGGCAGAGAGGAAGCCAATGGAGCGGCTGCCCTCATTCACATCTGAGTGGGATGAGGTACGTGCTGGAGGGGGTTAAAGGGTTAACATGAGAGAGCGAGAGAGAGAGAGAGAGAGAGAGAGAGAGAGAGAGAGAGAGAGACAGATAGAGAGAGAGAGAGAGAGAGACAGATAGAGAGACTAAACCCACATGAAGAGGGCTAACCCTCCTAGATCCCCTATGGCGTATGCACACTGATGCATTGAATCTACTCGATTCAAATGTGTACATCATTTCCACATGAATAAAAGATTTTAAATCAATGCAATTATTGCCAAAAGTAAGTGAACTATGCTAATGTAATATATTTTATTCATGTGTAATAACACATTCAAAACAAATTTGATGAATCACATTTTTCCAGTGCAGCTTTTTAACATTGTGTTTAATTATTTCTCACTCCCAGCTGTCGGAAACAAGTGGAAAAATTATGTTGAAAGTGCAGATTCTAACTTTTCATTCGATACCATATTTGTGTTGGAAGAAGAGGAGAAAATGTAGATATATGGACCATTCTACAAAATTAGTTAAAACTGTGGTCCCACAGTAAAAAAATTAATAAAAAACAAAACAATTACATACTCAGACCTTAGATATTTACGAGCATTATGTTATGATGTATTTAAACTCAATACATTAATTGAGATACTAATGAGCTAAACACATAAAAATCATCATTTATAGGGTACTTTCTGTTGGGAGGTGGCTGTTGTAAACCTTAACCCCAATAAAACGTACCTTTGCTATTTTTTAATTTTATGATTTTGTTTTATTAGAGATCGTTTTGATTTATTTAAAATATTTTAATTAAAAAACTTTATTCAAAAAATGCTGAGTTTTAAAGAGTTTTAGTCTGTAGGCGGAGCCTTATTTTAGCCACATCCCTGCATTTTAGAGCAGGAAGTGAGAATGCATCCCTGTCCCTCACGGCAACATGGTGAGCAGTTAAATCCCATTGTTTTGAAGTAAATGTGACTCATATTTTCTTTTTTGTATTTTACCGAAAAATCTTATGAATTTATGTGTTTACAGCTAATTAAAGCTGTGCTTGCTAGTCACTACTGAAACAACTGGTAAAGTTTTGGTGGCATTATTATTATATTGGTGGTAATAAAATGTAATGTTCAGTCACTGGTTTTACTAAAATAAACATAATTAAGGTAGTTAAAGTACAGTGTCATTCAAAACATTTTAGTTTAAAGTTTAAATCAGTTCAAAGTCCGAAATGTGTTTTGAACTCTGGCCTTGAACCAGTTCAGTGGAACTATGTAATTTATGCAGTTTACTAATTTGTTGAATTAATTAGTAAACAATTAAACAGTACAGCAAAATGTCTGTGATAAGCGTAGAGCTCTAAGGGTTAACGGAAGGAGGTGGGAGAAGAGCGCGCCATGGAGGAATCGCAGGCTAGTGGAGGGGCGGAGGGAGAGACAGCAGCAGGCATGGCGGTGCGAGTGCCTGTGGCTGAATGCTGAACGCTTGGCTGGGCCCATCAGTCCCTCCTGCTCTTCCATGCTGGCCACGGCGCACGGGGCTAATTGGGCCTTAGCTGTCACTCCACATCTTCTCAGGCACCTTCCCAAGGGTCAGCAGCCCACGCTCAGCACACAACAGCTCTTCTCCCATCCCCTCCCCATCCCTCCACTCCTCCTCCTTCTCCCTGCTTCCTCTCACAGCCTTTAGTCATATTCATAGCCAGGCTGTTGCCCTCACAATCTGTTTTATCAGCAATTCCCATCAGTAAGAGTGACAGTGAAACGTGGGACCTGTTGTTTTTGCATAAACACAGTACTGTGCAAATTTCTTAGGCTAAATGAGACAAATATTTAGCTGTAAGTGCAGTAAATGCTAATTTGTTCTAATACTGGTATAATAACAGATAGAAATAATCATTAATACAATAGACGGCAATTTTGTGTCTGCTAATCCGTTAGCTTAACCATTTCCACGTCTCTCCTTAAAGCAGCTAAGTATGTGTAGTTACCATTCAGTACCTGCTTCAGCTAATCAATACTTTATTAAAGGGTCCATATCCTACATTATAGGTCTTGTGATGTTTGTGATTTTATGTGCCAAAACAACCATAATTCATTTTTACATGACAATTTTCCAACCTCTCTTTATTCCTTATAAATAAACAGGCTATTTTTATTACCGTACCTTTAAGGCTGATGTATGCAAATAAGCTCTGTTCTGATTGGCTGCCCTATTTTGTGCCTCATTCAAAATGCAGTCTGAGTGAAAGCACACTTTATAACTTAAGTGTGAATAGACAGGGCTTAACCTCTGTAGGTGAATAGGTGCATGTATGTAAATGTGATGTTCACAAAAGTAATGATTTCAAAACAGGCTGTTTTACAGCTTAATTTCCATATATGTGGAGTCAATGCTATGTTTTGAAACTTTAACAAGATTTACATCCTTAAAAAATCAGGAAAATTCGCTGATATGGGCCCTTTAGGTTATGCTTCATTAAGTTACCTCAGTGCTGGTGGAATTTAACAAATACTTCCAATAGCTGGGGTTCACTGAGGTGAACAAGTGACACAATCCTGTAATCCTCCAAGAATGTCACAGCTTTATTTTTGAAAGCAAGAAATTAAACATAAAAACTATATTGTTTTGCATTAATGTAATTTAGATTTATTCTAATCAGTCACAACTAGGATCTTAGGCTACGTTTACACAGCACAGGTAAAAGTGGCCCAAATGTTTCTCCATATGTGACACAGATGTGTCATCTGTGTGGCAGTGTGAACAGCAAGAAACGCACTGAATCTGACATTTTCAATTCCGATTTGAGACGCTTTCATAGGTGGTACTGAAATCCGAAACGTATCCGATCTGCGGCAATGCGACTCAGTTTGAACAGCCAGATCGGAATTCATGCGGTTTTTACGTCAGTCCAACTTGACATCAGTCATAATTTCACGCTGCTGAGACTCATAAACATTTAGTCTTATGTTTCTGTACTAAAAAACCGCTCCGTGTTTGAAGAGGTTTCGAACGAAGCGGCCGAGCGCGGCCGGAGGAGCCCGAAGCTGCAGCGTCAGAGAACAGTTTAAAGAATCCGAGGACTCGAACCAAAGAAGTGCCCGTGGCCGAATAACGCGCCCTTTTGCGGTGAACTCGAACACATTCTGTGTGATGAGTCCAGCTGTCAACCACTGGAACTTCATAATCGCTCCTGTGATGCTGGCGAAGACGAAACTGAAAGCTGCGGGAGCGACTGGCGTTCACTGGCCGTCATGACTGTTTACCTCTGGGACGAGCCGCCACGTGAAGCACTGTTCTTTTGCGCATGCGGGTCGGTTTAGGAGCTGATCTGTTCAGACTGATGTCGCACACAGGTCACATTTAAAAGATAATGTGAAAGCCAAACAAAACAATCGGGTTTGGTGAGAAAATCAGATTTGGGCCACTTTTACCTGCTGTGTAAAGTAGGCTTATGAACAAAAATAATTGGCTCCACGTGTGTAAATGACTGAATGAACAAAAGACTGATATGTATTATGTATACAGTATGTGTGTATACATATAGATTGCCACCAGAGGGCGCACTACCGAACTACCGAGCACTACATTTGACTCAAATGTACTTTTTTTTAAATATGCAGAGAAAAACATCTAAACTTTCGAAATATAATGCATTTTTCCACTGAAAGGTCTAATTTCTAGCGTTAACATAACATAATTTAACATAACATAGTTCACGTAACGTAACCAGCGCCTCTAAGCTAAATCAGTCACACTGTGTTAGCGCCAAGCTAACCGAAACATACTATCACTTCTCCACGCTGGATTTAATACTATTTACGGCAGTTTTACATAAACGAGGACATTTGACGCTGGTAAGACACACTTATAACATATCCTTTACTTTGGTTTGCAGTTTTCAGTGATTCTTCAGTTGAAGCCTCTTAGCCTGTTAGCTATCTGGGCTAACTAGCTAGCTTAGCTCTCTGCCTTGCTGGTCAGTTCTTACAAAAGTTATGTTTAATATGGTTTCAGATATTTTTCTTCATTTAGTGTTACATTCAGTTTCTGACTGCAAACTAGGGCTGGGCAATAGGACAACATATATCATTATCATGATACATCATGTCACAGTACAATACAGTATGCTCTTCTGAACATATCGTAGATATCGTCAGTACTTTACTGACCAACTGCCTGTTTCATTATGAAGATAACAAAAATAGACCTGTTTAACTGGATTTAGTGCAACACAGCATGCAGAATATTGAATAAAAATCACTGTGTTCACAGTTTTGATAGTTTTTAAATGTAGCACTACTGGTTCTTTTTTCTGATGTTGGAAAAAAATAAATATTGTGACACCATGAAAATGTCTTGATGTATCACAATATTTTATTGTTGTCATATTGCCCACCTCTACTGCAAACATGAATTAACTTACAGGACTTCCATTGTTTAATTCCATACTACACCTGCCTTTTTAGATACCCAAAGTAAGCTATATGCATACTAAAGTAGAGTTACATATATTCGAATAGCTAAATCCATCCATGTAAAATATTGGATCAGTAGCCTGGATTAGGTTATATTAGTCATGAAAAATAAAAATTGGATAATTATCCATGAAATGTGTCATCACAGCTTATAAATGGGTTATTATTGCAGGAAAACACAGCACACTTTAGCATTTTTGTTATATCTGCATGGGAACATGTTGACATTGTGTCCATTTTTCAGCACAAATATGGTGGCCAGGAGTCTTTGCTACGTATAGGGTGACGATATCAGCACACGATATCTAGCTATCTCTCTCTCTCTGTACATTATGTGTGTGTGTGTGTGTGTGTGTGTATATATATGTATATATATATGTATATATATATATATATATATATATATATATATATATATATATATATATATATTTTTTTTTTTGTTGTGTATTAGAGCAATAAGCCAAAGTGCCTAAAACTCCCTTCCCTGTGGTATCAGATGTTGGTATTGGTGCATGTTTTAGTAAGAGTATGAGTAAGTGAGTAAAGTATTGGCCCGATACTCTATACCAGTATTGGTATCGATGGATCCCTAATTTTTGCCAAATCACTCACACCTACTTCTCTGAGATGCTAATCCTAGTGCGGGTCAAATATGTGTGCATGCATTAGATGTGTTAGCTTCTCGTGAGGCTGAGGCTGGAGGTGTCAGGAGGAGCTGATTCAGGACCTGTACTACTCTTCCCCAAGTTCACATTTGACCAATCAAACAGAAAGCAGCTGAAAGTGGGGTCTAATCCACAACTCAAAGCAATGTTCAGTCACAGGTCTGTGTTTTCTCGGGCAGGCCTAGGGGTGGAGTGTCCTGTTCTCAAGGACATCCTGTTTTGCCATGGTTCTCTAGCGCTGTTTCCCCTCCAGGTTTCGGACACATGTGGGCCTGGGAGCGAGAGAAAGGGAGAGAAACCGTGAGAGAGAGAGCTTGGAGGTTAAGAGCAGGTCGTCATCACAAAAACAACCCTGCATCTCCCCTAAAGCCTACAGTTATACAGTCATGTGGAGTAGGAGAATACTAAGAATACTAACAGGCTGGCACACACCAGCATTAAAATGCCTGTAGAAAATTGCTGGGAATACTCAGTTAAACAGGCAAAAGTGTTTTAAATCGAGGGCCTTGCCCTGTAAGTCGCACTAGGCACCTGACACCAAGCTTCGATTGTTTGGTTACATCATGCCTCACCTCATTCTTTCATCAGAAAAGAGTATGACAGGGTTTGCTCTCTAATGGCTTATGAAAATGTTGAGTCTAAGTTTAACAGAGGCGTCCTTGGGGGGTTTGAACACTACACCGCCACAGAGGAACGTCTACTGTACATACATAATGAAAGGACTCCAGTGCACGAATCATAGCTTCATCTTCAGGGTTTAGAGGGAGAATTTCTCGCACCCACCACCTGCACGGTTTCGAACACAATATGCACCACCTTGTAACCAACGTGTGAATGTTTTAGAGTTCCCGTGGAGAGCTTTTTGTTGTTGTTTTTTTCTAAATAATTTCTCGTTTGAGTGAGCGGTCAAACATTCTCGGCACAGATGGCAATATAACTCCATTCATAATTCATGCGGCAAACGGAAGATGTCTAGGGAGTGCATCTTCAGATAGCGAGTGAAAGATGCAAGAAGGAAAAGATGGAGGGAAAAAAAAACCTCTCACCTGTCAGAAAAGCTTCAGAGGTTCTCTGGCAAGTTCCTGCTCAGAGCAGTGCATTTACGGAGCGTCGTCGAAATGTCTTAAGTAGTTTCTGGGAGATTTCGTCTATTCCTTATCTCTATTCTGGTGCAGTCAGACACAGCAGAAAGGGGCCTAGGTTTCTTTTGTTATTCCAAAAGCTACACAGCAGAAGCTAAAATGGACACGTATCCCAGCCTGATGGTTGCTGCTTGCTGTTCCTACCCAGGCTTGACATCGCTTCTGTCAGACGCTTCCAGCATTCTATGCCATCACTCCATTACTCGATATTGCGGCTAGTCTTTGGGGCCTGTAATCTTGTTACCACTCTGGCACATAGGAGCGGCCAGGCCGGTATTAAATCTTTATTACCCCTCCACTTCACATTTTCTTAAAGCTGCTGGCTTTCACATCTTCACTCGTTAGCGTGGACCTTGTGTAATGTCCCCTTACTGCTGGCTCTGCAGATTGGAACGTTAGCATTTCATGCATCGTTTTTGGAAGCCTTGGAACTTCAAGGCTCCAGGCTACGACTGCAATAGCTGATGTGTCTCTACCCCTCCTCCTCTTTCCACCTCTTTCCCTTTCTTTCTCCCCAGCTCCAGCATAATGAAGATTTCTGACCACAGTTCAATGACTTACTCAAACAGTGAAAACGCACTGTGCACATTTTCAGGGTTGAGGCGGTTCACAGTTTTACAGACACTCATATGTATCTTGGAACTGCATTGCCTCACTAGGCTTAAAACCACAGGGGGGGTGGGGTTCTACAGCTTTTTTTGTGTAGCATGCACTCGTTGATTCATGAGGATGCGTTAATTCTTCACTGCCTTGCAGATGCCTCATTTGTGTACTACCTAGTTATTAACCAAAATAAGAAGCCTCTAGCAATTGTTGCTATTTGCTAGCAATTGTTGCAAACACAAACACACCATTAAAAGCTGGGATCCACCCCTTGGTCAACATACTAGCTAATTATCAAGGCCTTTATGAGTGAAATCATTTATGTTGAGCATGGAGAGCTATGCTGGCTCTCCAGGGCCAGCAGTACGCACACTTAATTTAAAGCCTTAAGTTTAGCTCTTTATCTTTGTCTATTGGCTCTTAGACATATACTCAGAGATCAGAACCTTACCCTTTGAATTCTCCCTAATCTCTTCTTTCAGGTGAATTTCAATAAAAATGCAGTAAAGGCACTTTGATTATGGCTTTAGGAATTACAGAAAGAACGTTCTGTCCAATCTGTGGATGTACAGTTAGTCACTTTTTCATGTAAAGTCTATATTTACACTGAAAAAATAGTACTTGATTCAAATGTGTACAGTGGTTTCACATAAATGAAACATATAACATCAAAGCTGTTTGATTTATTTTACAAACCAATATTCATATATAAGGTTTGTTTCACCATATTAAAGTGAAAACAGTACAAAAACACCATATTCAATGTTTTACCTTTCGAACTTTATTGTTTTTGTAAATATAAACTCATTCTAAATTTGATGCCTATAAGACATTCCAAAAAAGTTGGGACAGGAGCATGTTTACCACTCTGTTACATCACCTTTACTTTTAACAACATGTTTGGGGACTGAAGACACCAGTTAATCCAGTTAATCCAGTTTTGAAATCAGACTTGTTTGCCTTTCTTTCATTATACAGTGCTTTAGTGCAACTGATTAGGCAGCGATGCTGTGGTAACACAGGCAGAATGTGGTTTGATGTTATCTTGCTGACATAAGCGTGGGTGTTTCTGAAAAAGATCTAAAGGCAGCAATTGTTGCTCCAAAATGTGTACATCTTTCATGTCCACAATTACCAAGCCGTAGGCACTTACATACTCCAGACCATGACAGACACTGGCCTCTGAACTGTACGCTGGTAACAGTCTGGATGGTCCTCTTTTTTTGGCCTGGAGAACACAACGTCCGTTATTTATACAAACTACCTGAAAGGTTGACTCGTCAGACCGCAATACACGTTTCGACAGTGCACCAGTCCATTTCAGATGAGGTCAAGCCCAGAGATGTCAGTGGCATTTTTGCATGTTGCTGATATATGGCTTCCGCTTTGTGTAGTATATCTTAACTTGCATTTGTGGATGCTGCAACGAACGGTGTTTAATGACAGTGGTTTGTCAAAGTATTCCTGAGCCCATTTGTTGATATCCATCACAGAAGCATGTTGGTTTTTAATGCAGTGCTGTTTAAGATCACGGGCATTCAGCTGTGGTTTTCGGCCTTGCTGTACAGAGATTTCTCCGGAGTCCCTGAATCTTTTCCACATTATACACCAAAATAAAAAATCCAGTTTTTTGGCAAAGTGCCGAACCTCAACTCATCCTTGCTCATAAAAGACTAGGTTTTCCCGGATGCTCCTTTGTACTGTCCTACCGTTTTTTTTGGCAGTAAGTGGGTGGATGTGGAAACAATGCACACATTTGAATCAAGTAAATTCAATGCACTTTTTTCCAACATAATTCAATAGCTTCACTTCTCTCGCCGTCCACAACTTCACTTTTGAAGCACTAGCCCTATAGAAAACCGGAAAACGGACTCAGCACTAGATTTCTCTAGATGAGCTTTGCATATGCAGTAGCAGCTCGGAGATCTCTGAGGTCTACCTTCAGAGACTACAGTGATGTAAGGTGCACTCCACGGTGGATGGCGGGGTGGGGGGATGCGATATAGAATGTAAGTAGGTTAATTTGGAGTGGAAAATGTGAAGGGCTGTATGGCTTGGGGGGATCTTCCATGTGGGCCTTGGCGTCTGACTGCTAAATGAATCCAGGGGCTTGCTGGCATGTTGATGCCACTAGCACAGCGCAGACGGAGTTTTCAGACTTTAAATATTACATCAAAAAAACTCCCCTTTTTTCTATTTTAGTCCTCTCGTAAAAATCCATTGATTGGAAACAAGTAATCTCTAAGCTCCGATCCATTTGAGGAAAAGCATCAGCTAAAGAGTGCTAGCAGTGAAAAATGCTCTCTCGGTTTTGTAATCTCATTTGTGGAATATTTCTTGCATCCGAGTAGCAAAAGCGGTCAGGCCATTCAGTCCTCTTAGTACACAAATCCTAGCTCTTTCTCTTCTGTGAGCTTAATTTTTAGATAAAAGGAGTGCTTCCAACATGGTAATAATGCTAATTATGACTGAAAGCTACTGTGTGCCAGCAAGCGTTATGTAAATGATATCATGCTAACTGGTCCACACTAACTCTCAGTCTGGCTTTTTTTTGGGTGGGGGAGGAGGGGTGAAATCTTCTGTTAAGGAAATCATGTTGTTTCTCTGTTCCTACAGTATATTAACCGAAATTAGGTCAGCTCTTGATTTAGAAGGGGTTTTCGGTGGTTGGTGTTCAAAGGCGTTTTGTAACTGAGTATCACGATCTGAGGATTAGTCACTTGTCCTGAACACATGAATGCGCATTCAGTAAAAACAAACTTAAAACATTAGACTGGCTAGGGGAAAGCTGTAATACTAATATGGTGAAATGGTCTGTAACAGCTGCTGTATTTTAAAGCAAATCTATAACTCTGTCCCTGCTGTCTCTCTCCACCAGATTGAGAAGATCATGACATTAATTGATGCAGGCATCGAACTCTCCAAGGAACATCAGCCAGCATCCACAGGTAAATTCGATGCTACACCTCAAAGAGACAAGGAAAATGCCTCTGTCTCTCTCAGATCTCTCCCCAGTTCCAAGAGCAGAGCAAAATGTGCGCTGAAGTAGATGACTTGTAGGCCAATTCATTTCATCACATTTGTTGGGAGGATTAGACGCCGCAACCAAGCCAAAGAAACACTGTGCATGAAAGAAAATACAGTGCAGTCGGTGAGTAATTGGACAATGAAAATTTTTTCTCTTGTTCTGTATTCTGCAATATACTTGTATTTGAAATGAAGCTGTGGCTGTAAGATTAAAGTGCAGAATGGCAGCTTTCATTCAAAGGTAATTATATCTGTATGGGGAACTATACAGTCATCACAGCCAACATAACATAGTCCCCGATTTCATAAATAATAATTGGATGATAAACATAAGCTTAAATAAAATTGTTACTGCTATTACTTAGTTGTAAATCTTTTGCAGCTGATGACTGTCTGAGGACATTGAGTATCTTCCCTCTTGATGCTCTGCCAAGCCTGTAATGCAGCCATTTGCTGCCTGTTTCTGTGGCTTTTTGCCTTCAGTTTTATGTTCAGTAAGTGAAGTGCTTGCTCAAATAGGGTCCAGGTCGATTGATTCATTTGGTCAGTCAAGAGCGTTCCACCTCTTGGTTCGGAAAGAGCAGCATGTTTTGGGTCGTTGTGCTGAGGTGCCATCCACTAAGCTTTGAGACATTTGGTTGGATCTCAGTTAAGATTCATCTGTTGACTTCTGTTGATTGGTCCTGCTGCTGCTGTTGGCAGTCACATCATCAATACAGGCAAGAAGGCTAGTTCCACAGAATATGCAGTTCCACAATGCTTCATATGTTTCTCCATACTCTCCTCATCTACTCTGCTTCATCTGATCTGCCTTAAGGCTTTGCTCCAGAGCTTCACAGGTTTTTTACTGTGGCTTTGCCTGTATCTTGTGGTACCCATATGGAAAAAATATATGGAAAATATATGTTTCAAATATATTCCAAACACTAAAATGTATTTTAGAATATTTTTCCATATTAACCAAATATACATTCATTTTAAAATGTATGGGGATGTATCACATATATAAATGTACCATATGAAACAAATGTATGTAAACGTATTTATCAAATTAATCTAAAATTGTATGAAAAATAGCCAAAATACTGTCTAATGCACTTGAATTTGTATTCCAGTATCTTAATTTATATTAGCAAATGAACCTTTAACATGGCAAAAGTAACTGTTGTAGGTATTGATGCACTGTGAAAATGCAGTGTGACAATTTAAAATTCTGTTTATTTGAAATTCATTGTGTGTGAGTGTCTTACTGCATACGTACATGGTTAATGAAAAGTACAATGCAAAGGACAGAAGTCAGTGCTGTTTATTCAGTTCATGTATGTTTAGTTATATGTGTAACTTTTGTTAAAACTACAATTGAAAAAGTATAAAAACAAATACAAATAAGTGCATTTTAAAAATATATTTAATAAAATTATTTTTGTCCATTTTCATACGTTGCAAAAATATATTTGATAGTTATATTTGGAATATCATTTATTTTCCATATGAGTGAAGCCTCTTGAGGTCTCTGACATCTATTTTGACCTCTTAGATATTGACATATCTGTACCTATGTTGGAAATAGCACTCTCTTAAAGGAACAGATTTCCAGCTTTCCTTAATAATCGAAATAATTGTTCAGTCAGATACTACTGTACATGCTCTGCTAGTTTGGCTGCTATTGCTAATCTCACCTGTGCATTCTTGCTTCTTAGCCCCATTACAGGCCCCCTAGTGGACATTCCACCAGTGGAATGGAAAACGACTTGGATATTTTTAATTAATGTAATCAAATAAAATATTTTTCCCCATAACTCTATTATCAGATTAACTAGGACACTAATGGCTCTCTGTGTGTGAAACGTTGAGCTGCTAGTGAACAATGTGGGTTTAAAGGGGAGAGATACTGTAAAAACTGTGAAAACATCTCACACCTTTCCACAAAGATGACTAGCTGCAGCTTCCTTGATATCAAAACATAATGTACAAATAGCAGTTAAACACAATAAAAATAATGTTATAAATGTTGACCTGCTTGGTCACCTTTAAAGACAGAATCCAGTGATTTCTTTTGGTAATCATACACATTTCTGTCAGAAATCGTTTCTGTTAGACATATATTCCATCAGTGTTACTGAAGAAACTGAGGGACCTCCAAAACACACAGGAATTTAATTTTATGGCGAATGCGAAAAAGGGTTAACAGCTGACTTTGATACATTTAATGTTTTGCCTATGCCTCTGGTTTTATCTGATTTTCTGCCTCACGATGGCCTGCTTTGCTGGCATTGGTGCTTCTTTGATCCTCATGTTAAGAGACAACAGCATGTTATATACTGGACTAGAATCCCTCAGTGGAGCAGTGACTGCTTTAACAAGCTCCTTCCTGTTCATTGTTGAAGTATATCTGTTATATCTGTACTTTTTCTTCTCAGAGCACTCTGTCTCCCTTCTCTTCCTGTCTGGGACTTGGTTCAGTATTTCTGTACCTGATATTTTCACACAGAATAGGCACCTTGGCCTGATTTAGGATAGATAGAGGATACAGAGTGACCCACTTCCCTGGCAATGCTGGTCATCCCTGTGACTCTTGGTAATTAGGCCCTAAGGTTCCTTTTTTCCCTTACACTGCCTGTGTCTCTAAGTGGTAGCTATAAATGGAGAAAAGCAGTGTATTTTTAAAGTGCTTTGTCTGGGAGAGATACATTTATTTAGAGTTAAAGTCTTGGAGAAGAGAATGGTAGCAGTATGGGACCTGAGTGAGTCATTATTTGTGAGCTAGTGCTCTCCAGACTCTCGTGGGAGGCTCCCTGCATGTTTGGAATGGTTTCGTAAGGTGTTTTGGGGGCATAAAAAGAGCTCACCAGTGCTTTGTTACTTATAGCTTATCACATTTGTCATCGTAAGAATGTCAACATGACTAAAGGGTCATTTTCCTGAGTTCTGTTGTTTCAGAGTCGAGTGGGAACATCGAAAGAGGAAACCTTTAAGCCATTTGTTTACATCAACTTTATTCATTTTACTTGAAGGCCATTCCTTTTAGATGTCTCCAGAGCTCAGTGTAACCTTAATTATGCTATTAAGAGTCAATATGCAGTGCCCTCCAGAATTATTGGCCCCCTTGGTAGAGATGAGGCCGAACACCCTCAGTCATCAATCAGCATAGATTTTGTTCGTAAGAAGTCCCGGGGGTACCAATAATTTTGACAAATGTTTATTTTTTTATGGATTTTTCCCTTTGAATAATTTCACCTTGTACAAAGGTTAGAGTTCTCACATTTCTTTGTAAGTTACAAAGTTTAGTATTTTTTCACACCCTTTTTATCACATCTTATAAAATCGACAGTCCCGGTCTAAAATCTAATTGGAGTTAGAAGTTGTTGTAAAATACATGCACCTATGACCATTTCACTATGACTGAATTTTGTGTTAATGTGCCAAGTCACTGAAAAGCATTGTGCCGCTCACATTATTAAAAGATCAAGTTGTTTAAACTGAAGAGTTCACAACTTAATTTCTTAACAACTAGGCTAAAAGATAGCAAGCTAACAGGCAAAAACCGCTACTCCATCAGTGTTAAGCTCTACGTACAAAAAGTAAACAACATGTTACTTGAATGTCTTCAGAAATATTTTTGAATTGGATTAAATCCAATGTGGGGAAAATGAATGTGTGGCATCGTTAGCTTAATGCAGGAAATCCAAAGACGCGCTATCAGAAATAAGCATTCTCACTGCAGTGGTAATTTAATGAGCAGAAACTAAAAAGGTGAAGGTTTCAACATTATACGCTACTGTATTGTGATATTTATATTATGGCAAAAATGTGAAATGAAACTGCAGGGTACAGTGATTGACTGAAAGCACTTGTCCTCCATTGGCAGTCCATGGTTGCTTGGCAACAATAGTGTACTCCAAACCTGGGGTGCCCACGCTTTTTGTCTTGGCGGACAAAGTACAACAAAGTAGGCTGAATTTTTAAAAATGCATTTAACTATATTTTACTGTTTTTACATAAAATATAATTTTAAAAGGAAAATAAAACAATTTATTTATACATTTATATATAATATAAAATTATGTTTGTTCTCTCATTAGGTGAGGGGAGTATGGTTAGGGTAGCTCTCTGGCGGGCCAAATGAAACATCCTCATGGGTGAACTTTTGGCCAGTGGGTGACACTTTGAGTAGCCTTGCTCCAAATGAACTATATTTCTTGGTAGAAGAATTGTTTAATGCGATCATCATTATTATTTTTAAGAAATTACATTATTTATTGAAAATGTGTGTATCATATTTTATGTTGCTGTGCTTTTACAGAAATGATTTGTTACCACAGGTAAGAGGGTTTTATCACAGGTAAGAACTCTTATGTGATAAAATCTATTGTAGCTGCAGATTACTGATGTGTATCTCCAAGACTCTGAATCGACTACATTTGTACATGAAACACCTTCTTTCAACTTTATTAACGACAATAAAGCTGCAGTGTCACCACAACAGTATAACAATATTCCTTTAATTCCAAGCTCTGATGATGTAATCAGATAGAAGGCATCATTCACATTCCCATTGCCGGCATCTGTTTACTCATTCAATTACAAAGCTGCGTCAACACCTAATTTGTCGCACAGCAAGCAAAGCGAATGCACGTTGCACAGGTGTTTACCTCAGATGGTGCTACCTCCTCTGGAGTTTTGAACCAGTTCAAAAAGATGTCCCCGTTAATCAGCGCGCTGCACTGATATCATCTCAGGCAGGGAACCGTGCTTATGAGGTTGTGAGTAATGTTCAGGCAGGCTGACAGCGCATGTGATTGCACTCCTCCCTGATGTATTTCCATAATGCCCTGCATGCATGCACATGCATCGATGTGTAACACTGCCGAATTAGAATATTTCACGACGCCTTTCGTGCCGGCCGCGGAATATCAGAAGCATATACGCCGCCACAGAAATGTATGATAATGGTTCAAAACGCGAGAGTGCACATTTTTAACAATACGAAAATCCCTGTGCTAGGGAAGACTCAGATGTTGGCATTTTCCGCTATGAAGGTGGGTTTGGGGAGGATTATGCTAGTACGCAGTGCGTTTCGCTGACTTAACATTTAACATGCAGCCCCAGCCCCCCACCCCCCAATGGTACAGTGACATGTTCATGGATGTAATTCCTCTGATAATTTACCGTGGTATATGACTTGGCTGTGATTTAATTTTTCATAGAGTGCATGGGCTCTGGAAGCACTTAAGAGTGCAAAGGGGAGGGGGAGGAGGGAGAAAAGAAGAACCTACACGTTTTTCTACCCCCCACCCCTGTTTTCTCATCCTCTGGCTGGTCCTGGCACCGCGGTTTGTGATTTGGGTTTGTCTCTCTCTCTCTCTCTCTCTCTCTCTCTCTCTCTCTCTCTCTCTCTCTCTCTCTCCTGCTTCTGCCTCTGATGATGTCCTTTCTGCACCAGCAAGATCAGAGAGCCTGTGTGCAATTTTAATCAGTGTGGTGAGGGAGAGGGGGGTAAAAGGAGAGAGAGAAAGAGAGAGAGAGAGGCTGTGGATTGATCGTGGTAGAGAGAGAGAAAGAAAGAGGGGAAACAGAGAGAGACAGTGAAAAGGAGGGAGGGGATGAGATAGAGGGGAGGAACAGAACCTCGGTTTACGCTGTGCAGAGGCACACAGCATCAGACAGCATATGGCAGCCCTGCAGTGCTTGCAGACGAGAGAGCGTCTCTCTCAATGAGAGAGCGGGCAAGGGGGCGTGAGGAGAGGAACCGGTCGCAGAAAAAAGGGGGGCAAAAAAAGGGAAGAGGCGAGCGTGAATGGATGCATGAATGGGATTAGGATGAGGGCGTTTGTGCGGCACAGGATTGATGACTGCAGCCGAGGAAGGAAGGAGCCGCCGGTGGCTTTCAGGAGGAGGAGTGTATCATCTGGATGTTTTCGCTTTGTGAGTGGTGATTGCGGCCGCCGCTGCGACTGAGCGCACCCAGAATTGGGGATATGCAGCAGAGCCTCAGGAACGTCCGCCACAGGCAAGGAGAGACCTCAGAGCGCAACCGGACCGCAGGGCGAGAGAAGGAACCGCCTGCAGGGCTTTCCAATGGAGATATCAAGCGTACCTGCCTTCTGCTGGATCAAAGGTCGCCTCTGCTCGCTTTGATGATGATGCGCTCCACTCTGGCATGCTAGACCACCGGAGTGCGCTTGAGCCAAGAAGGACCAGTAGTCCTCGGATTAGAGCGAGTGGAAACGAGTCGTCATCAGGGGCCGGTTGATTCGGCAGTGGCCACACTTGCGAGCCTCTGATGGATTGAGGGATTCTGAATCAACAGCAGGGCAGAAGGGATAATGTGGACTTGGTAAATGTGACATGCATTTCATTTCATGAGCAGAGGTGATGCAAGGAGTCTTTCTTATCTCTAACCAGTTGGCACTGTAGCTGAATTACAGCATTGGCCCAGTGAGTTCTAGAGTGTGACAGTCAAAGGGTCTGTAATGGGTACTGTGTAAGTAAATAGTTTGGGGCATTTTGAAAAGTCCTCCTTCTGCTCTCCATTATGAGGGTCACCAACTAGGTTAGACTGAGCTTCGCAATGCAAAGTGGCATGTGCATCTGAAAGAAAGAGCACATGTATATCAGGGAGATTGCTGCTTCTTTGTATCTCGTGGTAGAGGTGAAGATCTTGTGGCGCAAAAGTTCCCTGAGAACTTTCTGATCTTCCAGTCCACTTAGGTCTGAGTAGTTTTGATTTGAATCAAAGGGGGCACAATTGTGTATCGCTCCACTATCTTCCTCTCTTTTCGAAGGACGATGCCAAATTGTCCTTCTCCACTGGACTCGCTTACTTGAAGCCGCTCTTCGAAAGGACTACCTGCCGACCTCTACCTCTGCCCTTGTCCTGGCAGCGAGGGCTCCTGGTGGCTCGCTCACCACTCTTGTCGTCTGTGTGTGTGGTGGGCCCCTGCTGCTGGTGGCCCCCTTGTCCAAGCCTGGACGCTGCCTTGCTGCTGCTGCCCTTGGCTCTGCTGGCCAAAGATGATGTGGCAGTGCCACATCTCGGCCTCTGAGTGCCGCTGCTACCGGCTCAATGGCTTCTCGCTGCTCAAACGCCTCCCTCTGTCGGCAGATGCAGCAGGGAGCCGGGTGCTGGAGCAGTCGGTGGGAGAGTGGCTGGAGCACGTGGGCTTCCCTCAGTACGAGAGCAAGCTGCTGCTCAACGGATTCGACGACCTGCGCTTCATGGTGAGTCGTCTTTTGTGCCCCACTGATGATTCAGCCAATTGATTAAATGAAGTGAAAAGCTGTAAACCACAATTCATCATTTCTCCATTTCTCCAAAGCAAGCTGGTTTGCTGTTTAAAATGCAACTGAAAGATCTGGAATCCAGTCAGAAACCAAAAGTATCCTGACACCTGCTCTTCCGAAAAAAAAGGTTTCAGTAGGGAGCTGGTCCCCCTTTTGGCCCTTCAGTTACAAGAATATTAGAGAGATCAGGCACATACGTTGAGTAAGTCTTGCTCATAAACAACACTCTAACTCGTCCACAAAAGGTTCAATGGTGCTCAGCCACTCCAGAGAACATATTTTCACTACTCCAATACTCAAGGTGGGGAGCTGGGGAGCTTTGCATCACTTCAGCTGATGCTTAGCATTGCTCATTGTGATCTCAGCTTGTGTACGGATGCTCACACTTGTCCTATTCAAGTGCCAAAACTTTGCAATGGATTACACAGCTGTACGCTTGCAGTTTAACATCAATATCAGCAATTGGCAAAGCCCAGTTCTTTAATTAGAAGATGTGTCTGGATACTTTTGGACATCCCAGGTATTGTGTGCCTACAGTGTTTGTACTGTCCAATTAATTGTGCCTAAAAATAATGATCACTAAATGATTTAAAAATTGACAAACACTGAACTTGAATGCATGTGTGCAGGGTAGCAATGTCATGGAAGATGAAGACCTTAGGGAAATTGGCATCACAGACCCGGGCCATCGGAAGAAAATTCTTCACGCAGCAAAGAGCCTACCGAAGGTGCTGTTTATAATCTTACCACCAACCAGTCAGACACACTTTTCAGGCTGAGAAGTTCTCAAAATTATTTATAGGCTTTAAAATTATGAAGGATTCTGTGAATAACCAAAAAATTGGTCATAAACAGCAAAATCCCCAGTGCTGAAAGAACTCTTACAACCTTTATCTGTGACCAGATGTATGTATGTAAACAGCATAGGTGTTAATTCAACATTGGGGATTTCATTGTGTAGTTTTTCTTCAAAATTATTGCCTAAACTGATGAAATGTTTACTGTATGTTAGGTTCAATTTCTTGAAACCCAGTGCAAGTTGTTCTTTATCTATAGGTGAAAGCTCTAGGTTGTGATGGCAGTACCTCACTAGCCTCCTGGCTGGAGAACTTAGGTCTTGGGGAGTATCTCCACAACTTCCTGTCCAGTGGCTACCGCACCCTGGAGTGTGTGAAGAACCTATGGGAGCTGGAGATTGTCAATGTAATTATCTCTTCTGAATTCCCTTTGATTAAACTAATGCGTCTTACACATTGATTTATACCAGGAACATGGTTTTTCAAAGATTCACACCAAACAAGGGAATTAAACATCAGAGCATGCTTTTCTCTTCTTCAAGTAGTACATCAGAGCTGTATTGTCTACACAATCTGCCTGTTTTAATATTTGACTATTCACAGTTGCCCATAACAGGCAGACATGCAATAAGCTATGCTTCTGATGTTGCCATATTGACTGCAGAACATATTTTTGATAGTTGGGGTTAGTACCAGTAGCTTGGTTTAGCTGGTTTAGTTTGGTTTGGTTTGACCCATAAGTAAGAGATCATAAAGAAAAAGATAAAGGTTTTTGGCTTTAATTGTGATACATGTCAAGAATATAAAGATCTGGATTTTGTATGACAGGCTAGTGGAAAAAATGTTGATTATCTGGCTGCAATGTAGGCAAATGTGAAAGTAACCAAGTGCTCAAATCCTAGTCAAAATCCTGACCAACCTATGGGTATAATTTAGTGTCGCCTAGGTAAAACCAACAGAACCAAATAAAAAATAACAGTGTCACAAACACCAAAGCTCTGGTGCAGACTTACAAAACAGTCTTAGAGTCCTGTCTCTGTTCCTTGACCACAAGTACTTAGTTAATGTGCTTATATGTGTATTTTGCAAAGGTCTAAATAGGAGCCTTCTTTGGTAGATTCCTCTTTGAGGATGAATAATGTTTGCTCTGGCCTGATTCACACTATGTTCTGTCTTGTGTAGGTGTTAAAAATTGGCCCGCTTGGCCACAGGAAGAGAATCATTGCTTCCATAGCGGAGCGACCATATGAGGAGGCACCTTCAAAGTCCAACCGCTTTGCCCAGCTCAAGGTAATGGACATGCTGCGTATCATATCATCAATGTAGAAAGTAAGTTTGTATATCTCAAATGGCAACTTTCTGCTTATATTGTTGTATTCTGTGTATCAAAAGTTGTTGTTATGTGTTCAAATGGTATCATACTTATTTGGTGTTGAACTTTTGATATTTAAATTTCTATTTAATAGAAATCGCTTGTCTAATGTCCCTCATAGAAACCATGAAATAGTTGCACATGGCTGATATTTTCACTGCTGATCTACATCTACTGCTTGAACTTGTATACACTGACAGGAGAGTGAAAGGAACAAACAGTGTTTTTAAACACTTTTTCTAATTTTCATTATCATTAAAATGATTTGTTGAGTCTTTTGACACTTTATTGCACGCCTGTTTAGTCTTTGTTATTTTCTGTCAAAATTCTTTGCCTTTATTCCTTTTTTGGCTGAAAACCAAAACTGCCATTTTGACAACTTTTTGGCCAAAATACATTTTGGTGGCCAAAATTTTGGGGCATGGATAATTTCTATTAATCCACTTGTAATGAAATGTTTACAGAGTTTAAAGAGCACCTGTCATTTTCAGATGCCAGTTCTTATGACAGTGATGATGTATAACATTTCAAACCACCATATAATATGCAATGCACACTGAAAATGTCCCTTTGCACTGCTCAGAGACTTGTGGATGCACAACATAGTACTCTCAGTGTAAAGTTCCAAGGAATTCTTGTGCTATTTTTATCTTGCTGCATTAATTATATAGTTGCGTGTGTGTTGTAGATTCAGGACCTCTTGTCCCAGAACCCCCCTCTTGGTTACATGGACCCATATACGAGTCGTTCCATGGACATGCTGCTGCCCCTGGGTGAATATGGGAGGAGAAGCAGAGCGCTGGATCAGGAGTGCAGTGTCTCGCTCCGCTCCTACAGTGAGAGGCCGCGCTCACATGTGAGTCTTCTCTCTGGTGGTAGATGGTTGCACAAGAAAGTTTGACATGTGATCTTAGCATTGTGGTGGTAGACCAGAACATTCAGCCTTTACTAGTGCAGCCTTTACTAGTACAGTCATTCTGTACCAGCACTCATTTAGAATGATTGTGAAGGAATGAGAAAAATGGCTGATTGTATGTTGGAATTGGTTTGAACAATGGTTACATTTCTGATAAATAATCTAAAAGAAAGTGAGAACTAATACATGTACCTTTCTGCATTCACCACATGGCCAAAAATATGTGGACACATCCATATGTGCTTGTTGAACAACTCATTCCAAAACCATGAGCATTAATAGGGAGTAATAGGGAGCAATAGCCTGTACTCTTCAAGGAAGGCTTTCTACTATTCTACAAAACTATATTTTGAAACATGGCTACATGTAGAGGGACCTGCCACAATATCTTGCACTGCGGGAGTAATTTTCAGTGTCATGGGCAGGACTGGGCGGGAAACCAGCCCACTGTAGGTGGGAGTGGGCTGAAGCCTGCATTATGAGAAATCCCACAAATTAATGAACAGCCTAAATAAGGCAGAACGATCACTGAATCATATATATAAACAATATTAAATGATAACAGTAAAGCAATTAAAATTAATTAAGTGATTCTAAAGAATTGCGAAGCAGCTGATCATGTGAACAGCACACAGATTCTTGTAGCTTACAGAGACGGCGGAGCCTTCAGTCTGACGGGCGACAGCTGCTAAGCCTAGCAAAACACCAAAAATAACCGTTCTGTGGTTTGATTTCTGTTTGATTTTCTGTCTGTCTGTGTTTACTGGTAATACATGGCGTTTGGTGAAGTTACATCACAGTGAGCCTGATGACCAGGACTGCCATGTTATTTCAGCAGAGAATAACGTATTTGTGAATAGACTGTGTCAGATATTGGATGTCAGCTCGTCTTGACAGAACTGCGTGGGCAGCAGTGGAACAAAGAGTTTCAGTCGCAGGCAGGAGCAGGACAAATGATTCCGATTTTTGGGGAGCGGGGTGAAATCTTCTGGGAGCAGGAGGGAGTGGGACTAAAAAACTGTCCTGCATAGACCTCTATCTACAGGGATTCCTTTTCACTTAATCACTAGAGCATTAGTGAGGTCGGGCACTGATGTTAGGTGATAAGGTGTTCCAATTCATCACAAAGATGTTGGATGAGGTGGATGCCAGTTGGATGCCAATTCTTCCACACCAAACTCACAAAATTATTTCTTTATGGATACTGCCTTGTGCATGGGGTCAGAGTCATGCTCACATAGGAAAGGGTCTTCTTCTAAATGCTGCCACAAAGTTGTATTCTCTAGATTGTGATTGTATGCTGTAGCATTAATATTTCCCTTTGCTGGAACTAAGATGCCCAACTCAAACCATGAAAAATTCCTCCAGACTTCACAGTTTTTTGCACATTCAGGTATGTAGCTTTCTGACAAACCAAGATTTGTAGCAAATACAGTACAAAGTGCTGCTGTACTACATAGAATGCATCGCAGTTAGAGTGTGATAAGCTATTTTTACACTAAATTTGTGTAACTTTAATGTAATAAGACCTTCAACATAATTTCAGTGTAGTACATCTTCATAAACTCTGTGTTTGAGCTGAAAGATGTGAGGTGAGACAAGTAACTTTAGCTGAGGTAACATACCAATAGCATTTGTCTGTTTATCTGAAAGACAGACTGCCTTTCTATGTGTAAATTTCAAGCCGTATGTGATTTACACTGTGACTTGCTGCAAAACTGAACCGTGCTCAGTGTCACTGAGCGCTAGCATGCATTGACACAGAATGACACCGAATTTTTAAACACTACAAGCTTCAGTACTTGGCCCGTTCTGTGAGCTTGTGTGGCCTACAGCTTTACGGCTGAGCTGTTGTTGCTTTTCCACTAAACAGAAATGGCTCTGATGGTTGACTGGGGCATCTTTAGCATTGCAAACCTACTTGTTGGAAAGGTAACATCCTATAATAGTGCCAAGGTGAAAGTCACTTAGCAAATCTACTACTTAGAAGAGATGTCCACATTTGGCCATTTGGTGTGTGTATATAGCTCCAGAAATCAACACATTTCACTTTGTTGTCTTCAAACTGCTCATCGTTCACACTACAGGTCAAGAGTATGGATCAGGCTGTGTTTTTTTTATTTTATTTTTTTCAAATAAATAAATTGGCAGAAAATCAGCATAACACCACATGTTTATTGACGCCGACTTTAACCAAAGAGCCTTATCTGAAATATTTAATTGGCCTGCAGCGATGTACTCTTACTCTAATGCATCACACGGGAAGAGCCATCACAGACTTTATGGACTTTCCCTTACAATGACTTGTTTTTAATTATTTATGAACTCCTAATACACCTGAATAAATCCATCAAACCCTCTGTAGCATCTGCATGTTAGAATCAGAGTAGTAGTACAGCTCTGCAGGAGCAAAGCAAAGGAAAAATCAGTTAATTATACACTTATTTTTACAGTTAGTGTTGCTTATAGCCTTTTGGCCTGTAGTGTGCTAAGTCACCACTTTGTCTTGTCTGTTATTCATGTACATGCTTCTGAAGGATCGTCATACAGATCGGCACAGGGAGTCCCGGCTAAACCTGCGGCCCACGAGCCAGTCTGCCTCCTATGCCACTGTCTCTACGTGGCACCACCATCCTGAGAAACTCATCACAGAGGCTTGTTGCTATGAAGCTAGTGTAAGTAATTTCTGTGGCTTTCTCCAGATTCAAACACGCCAGCATATGTTTTGCGTACATTTGAATGAATAATGCAACAGTTTAACCAAAGTCTTCAGAAGGTTCAGTATTTATTGATGGACTGACAGTATTAAATTCTAATCATGTACTTTGCACAACACAAGTTTAATTTGAACTGTTAAGCGTTATAATCAGTGGTGGACAGTAATGAAGTGAATGTAATTCATTACTGTACTTAAGTAGTTTTTTTTGTATATGTAATTTACTGTATTTCCATTTTGGGTGACTATTTACTTTCACTCCATTTCAAAGTCAAATATCTTACTTTTTACTCCACTACATTATGCGAAATCTGTCGTTCCTTTTGGCTTGCGTGTGTATAGAAATGTTACATGTCAAAACAAAATGAGCATGAAGCAAGCGCACCAATAAGAGTGCAGCACACACTTTGTTTTGAGCTTGTTTTGACCTGTTGGACATACCGACCCAGTGCAAGCATACGGTTCTACATCAGTGCAACAGTGTAAAAGTGTGGGAGTGTCTATTCCAACATAAATGATGGAGGAAATTAGACCACAATATAGAAATATGTACATATATGCAGTTGTGACTGGTACGTTTCTTTTTTCTGAATTTATACAAACTCTATTTCATTTTATAGTAAATTTGTTTTGGCTAGTTTATGTTTATCAACAGAGACCTACAGGTGTAATATAGTAAAGGAAAACTCATTTGTGAACCTGTGTTTAAAGCAAGTTTTTATTAAACTTGTAACTAAGTTGCAAATAAATCTTAAAATTGTTTGCCTTCAGTGTTTTGAGCTTATGATAATTTTAATAGACATCAGCATCAGACTAATTAATGACATTCTAATAAAAAGATGGGTTTACTGAGAGTGACACTGGAGTATTTTCACCTAAAATGAGTTAATGAAGCAAGAGTCTTGTTACAATCACGGTAATAGGACATCAGAGTCATAATTAATCTTTTAGTACTTTTACTTTTGATACTTAAGCACATTTGAAGGCAAATACTTTTGTACTTTTACTCAAGTGGAGGTCTAAAGGGAGGAACTTCTACTTTTACTGGAGTAATATTTTACCTTGGGTATCTCTACTTTAACTCAAGTACATGATTTGTGTACTTCGTCCACCTAAACGTTTTTCTTAAGCATGTTTGAATGTTGATGTTCTGTCTGTTGAAGACACTTTTTTTGAAGCTGGCCCCAGATCAGTAGCATAGCATTTCGAACTAGAAACTAAAAAGGGTACCACTTTAGAATAAAACCACTCTTATAAAGGGTTTATGAATGGTTTAGAATGAGTTTATGAATGGTTATTAATCAGGTTTTAAACACCTTAAAAATTATGAATAAGCAGTTATAACACATATAAAAAGGTGTGTTGCTTGCCATATATTGTGCCCACATTGATCTATACTGTTAAACCTCAGATCTTGCTCTTGACTTATCTTACATCATCTTCTCCATCATTCAGCATTAAACCTCCCAACTTCATCAGATATTCATATTTATCATATATTGCACCTCACTGTTGCCTTTTTATATTTGTGGTATAACTGATTATTAATGATTTTAAGAACCTAACTAATAACCACTAATAAGCTCATTTCAAACCATTCTTAAATCTGTTATGAGGGTAGTCTTATTGTGAAGTGCTACTGTAATTTTCAGCAACAAAATGTAATTGTAATTGTCCAACCTGCAGCAGCAGCTATGAATAAATGAATGCATTTTGAGCAGAGCATGAATAGGTCGGTTCACTATTACTCTAAAAGGTGGAAAATAGAAAAAAGGAACAAGTGTGTCCAGACATTTGACTGGTAATGTACATCATGTAGCTCCTGCATAAAATAAGTATTGTGAAAATATAGGCACTTTCTGTTGGTCATTCAAAGTCAACTGAGAGGGAATAAATCAAAGATGGTATTGTTTATGCTATGAGAAATGTCTGTCTATCCTAGTCTGAGCAGACAAAAGACTTTATTCCTAAATGGTACTGATTTAAGCATAAAACTGTGTTTGATCAGCCTGATACTTTACACTGAGCTTTTCTCTTTGTAGTATCTGGGTTCTGTGATTATCAGAGACCTGCGAGGTATTGAGTCTACTCAGGAGGCCTGTGCGAGAATACGGGTAAACACAACTACCTTTTTACTTTTCACTTTTCACATTGTATTTGAATTGATCTGGTGGCACTGTGGAAGCCCTGGTTCTTTGCTTTGACAGTCTCCATAAACAGTCCTTATTATCTGTCCTTTGGTTTGATCAATATTTTAAATCACTAGCCAATTAACTAATATAGGATAAGGTCATGAAAAAACGCTGACAAATAAACTTACCAGACTAACAAGCGCGTGTGTCTTGTAATGTCTGTCAGAAATCAAAAGACCATCGGAAAGGCCCCGTCGTAATCCTGTCCATCACTTACAGGGGAGTCAAGTTTATCGATGCAGCCACTAAGGTAAGCCAAAGGCCAAAGTCAATCAATCCAATTTAACACAAAGACACTTGTACACAGAGCATGGCCTGAAGCCACCATTAAACACCAATGCTAAAAACAGTGTCATTTCACTTTAGTCCTTTAGATGGCAAATGTTTTATAATGAAAGAAAAGTCTGTGAAATACGTAAAACGTGTGTATATACTCACCCCTGCAGGCCATTGTGGCAGAGCACGAGATCCAGAACATCTCCTGTGCTGCCCAGGACCCTGATGATCTCCGCACCTTCGCCTACATCACAAAAGATCTGAAGTCTGGGCACCACTTCTGTCATGTCTTCACCACAGTGGAAGTGGTAAGGGCTCCCATTTGGATCAGTGTAATCACTCAAACACTCAGATCGGCTCCATTTATGAAACAGATTTTATCTAAAAATGACTGTGAAAATTGATGTTTAAGTAGGGATTTATAAAATGTGATTTTGATGTGAAAATGTGCATAGATTCAAGATATTCAAATGGCAATGGCACTGCGTTACATGCGTTACAGTGTGAGATTGGTGAAAATAGTTTTTATATGTGATTGCTGAGAACTTAAGGACAAATTTAGAAAGAAATTCAGTGACGTTTTATAAATGAGGTCCCAGGACTATACTTCCCTCTGAGAGATACTGGTATTAAACTTGTAAATACAGCAGAAATTAGACTTTTATATGTTTTCTGTGTTTATGGTATGGTTTATGGTATTTGGCAAATACCCAGTTTAATCATGTTACCAGTGTAGGTGAAGGTAGTGTTTGGAGTCTTGCTCAAGGACTCCTATAGGTATAGCATGGTTTTTGCCTGGGTGGAGGGGTGAGGGGGTCAAACCCCAGTCTGCTGCATGTGGGGAGAATATCAGCCACTATGTATCTGTATCTGAAAGGACGATTAAACGGGAATTCCACAGATTTTTCAAAACGTCTGCATAATACCATCTTCACTTCCCAAAATGACAGTGAACTTACGTGTGCCCTACTAGTTTTATATGTAATGTTGTTTATGTTAAAGTAGTGGAAAATCTGAAACAAAAAGTTTTCTTTGGGTACTAGTTTGCCTTACAACACCCTGCATGTACCTCTCCACACAGATGTATTTTAAAAACCTGTTTTAGGCCACATGTGTGTAGCTCCAGTCCTGGTGGGCCCAAACACTGCAGACTTCAGCACACTGCCTCATTAAACACACCTGATTCAGCTAATCAGCTAATTAGCAAGGCCTTCATGAACTGAATTCAGAGTGTTAGATGAGGGTAAACATTGATCTCCGTAGTGCTTTGGAAGTCCCCAGTTTAACATGCCTGTTTTAGACCATAATCATCTTAAAACAATGTTTTAGGCATAAGATCTGAGGTTTAACAGTATAGATGAATGGGGGCTCATTGTTTGGCGAGCAACAGGTCACCATTGCCCTTTTTTATGCATGTGTTATAACTGCTTATTTAGGTGTTTATGATTTAATTAATACTTATTATTAACTATTAACTATTTTTAAACCTTTTAAAAACTCCTTATAGGAGTAGTCTTATTGTAAAGCGGTACTGAAAAAGGATGTTCATGGCATATCTCTAAAAGCTATTTCTTTGAACATTTAGTTACTTTAGTTAGTGTTTGTCGATGCACACCAGTCAGCTGTACACAGATTTGTTTGGGTCCTGGCTAAGACTGCAGAACGAAGATCGAATCTCCTGCTCCTACATGTCGCACAAAAACAGTATGTCTAAATGCTTAGTAATAAAAACAGCCTGTTTAATTCTAAGAGATAAAGAGAAGTTGGAAAATCTGTCAGGTAAAATTTTATTTTTCATAAAACAACATTATTTTCATTTCTCTTTTCAGTTTTTTGTTGTCAGTGAAATCTTGAATTTACTCTGAACAACATGTTCAACATTGCTCTTTCTTGTCACAGACGCAGACCTATGAGATCATTCTGACTCTAGGACAGGCGTTTGAGGTGGCCTATCAGATGGCTCTTCAGGCACAGAAGGCCCGGCGTCACAGTTCCTACGCTGGTCCAGTCTCTGAGGTCATAGAGACCAAGACCAGCAGACCGACTTCTCAGTATCGGAACAGCATGCGTCGGTCGATGGTGAGCAACCACTCAGTCTCAAACATTTACTGCGTATAACTTGGTGTCTTTCAAATAAGTTTTGAGTATGTTTACATCTTTCTGTATATCAGACGTCCTGTGTTGCATTTTCCCCTGTCCTAACTGATTTCTGTCTTCTCCTGTCCCTGGCTTGTTGTCCTGGGCCTTTAACACATATATGTGCCTCTGCTCTCGCTCCTCCTCCTTCCCAGGGTGCACCTGTACTAGAATGCCGCTGCTGCTACTGTCACACCTGCTCTGCCCACCGCCCCTCCTACCTCCCGCTGCCCTCTGTCAGCCCTGGAGTCCAGGTTCTGCACTTCTTTCATTCTTTCTTTTCATCTATCTCTCTTTCTACCCTTCCTCACATACTCGCATCTTCTCTACCAGTCATTTTCCACCCTTTAACTAATTTTCCGGCCACTTTTCATTCTTTCACCTTTCTCTACTTTGTTTAATTTACACTTTTGGTTGTCAGGCCATCAGCTTTACAACACAAATTGAAGTCCAGATACTTCTGTGAGGGTGCTGGATGTTTGTTCAGTGGGGAATGAGATAAAGAGGATCACGTCAGGGTTTCAGGTGTCCGGGTGAGAGGTTTTAGCTTGAGGATTGGCTTTTTAATGTTTTGTCTTTTGATCATACTAGGCCTATATCAACAGTTTTGCCTGGTCTGTGGTCGTGCCAAAGTAAATAGGTCTTCCTTGAGATGCCAAAATGGAACTTGCTTTTTAAGGAATTTCATTCAGACACAGTGATGTCTTTAGTCATGTCCTCTCATGGCAGGTTGTGCCCATTGGTGCAGAATATTTTCGCAAAAAAAGAAAAACTGTTCCCAAAAATGGCTTCCTTATGTTTAGAACATCCCTTTCGGCTTTTGAAAAATGCACATACTCAGATCTACTGTTCCATCTGCAGGAGGAAAATTAGAATTAGGTTTACTTACTATTTTGAAATATAAAAGGACACTCCAGCCAAAATGAAAAACGTAACCATCGCTATGGAAATATGCTTATGTGCATGCTCCAGCAGTGCAGCAGTAGTCTTCAGAGTGATTTTTCTGGTTTAAAGACTAGTAAAACCCCTATTGATGATGTATCTTGATGGTTACAGGAACTTTCTTTGGGGTAGATTTTCTGGGGCTGTTTTGAAAGCTGTTTGATGCAGAAGGAAGCTAGACAGGCTAATGTTGCAGCTAGGAAGCAGAATATCCTTTTGCAACCATGTAACTGTTGTAACTGTCTTCATATTTGGAGAGAATGGATTACTCAAATGACAAAAACAGCTCATCAGATGAGGAGGACAACAAGCTAAAAGCTACAGTTAGCAAGGTAGAGGAGTATCTAGATACCTAATCTCAGTTTAGCTTCATTCTCTGACTGAAAGGGTAAAAAAAGTTGTTCCTTTTTGTACGGTGTCAATTTTGTGCTGAATAAAGATAGAATTACTGTTTTCTTAACAATTTTGTTTGACAGCAGAGGTTAAACTATTGCTAGCTTGGTTGTCTTTAAAAGCCTATAGCTCAGTGGCGAGGAGTCAAGATTGGTTGACGCCACATGGATTTCCAGTGGTTGTTTGTATTTGCATAATGCATGCTGGGTATTGTAGTGAGAAAACATTGATGAATGGAAATATGAAAACAATATAAATTTGTGAATTCTAACAAAGTGATGTGGCTGAGAGACACAAAGCTGCAGTACAGAATCCTGCAGAACTTAGGCCAGAATGCCCTTTTAAAAAAAAATGACAGTCTTATTAACTAATATAATAGCAAATATTAAAAAGCATGCACATTTGGTGTTTATGTTGTTGGAAACTGGACCCCGGTGTTTGTTAAAAACAAAGAAATAGCTTGAAAGGATAGATCCTAAGATGGCTGAGTACATGCCATCACAGTCAGCTACAAATGTGCAGTTGAGATCATGCTAACTGCTGACCTTCTTTTCATGCAAGCTTTCCTGCCATGTTAGACAGATTTTTTTGAAGTACTGAAAATTATAAATAATTATAAAGGATGTCATTTTTAAATTGACATTACTTGTATGAGCAAATGTTCAGCTTTATCTTGATGAAAGTAATGGAATGGACAGATTCTCTCTCTATCTTAGTTCAGCCAAAGCACTGCATCATGTCCAGACACCACTTTTGGTGTGTGTTAAATGTTCAAGATGATTTCTCCTACACCGTGTCCATTCTATGGCACACGAGGTGGGCGATGCGTTGGCTGGTATCCAGTCCCGCAGTCTCACGCCACCTACCCCTCCTCCCTCCCCGGCAGATGGACCCCGCAGAGCAGGAGACGGACGTGCAGTCCTTGGGCAGCACCAGCTGGCTCTTCGACCCCCGTGACTCCTCGAGGCCGCCCAGCAGCGCCAAGTACGAGACCACCATATTCTGAAGCGGGGGTACAGCCCTAAAACCCCAGCCCCACATCCGCCACACCCCCTTCCAACTTGACCCCTTCCCCTTGCCCCCTGAGAAAACTTTATTGCCCTGTGCCTTCTCACTGTGATTTGTAGCCTCCCTCAGGGCAAGATCTATTCCCTGCACTCCCCCCAAACCTCCCAGCCCTCGCCTGTGTAGCCCTCTACTTCCACTTCCTCTTCTCCATGTTGAACTGGGTGCTGGATTTCCTGGACCCTGCCCTCCAGGTGCCCTCCTTGAATTCTCCCGTCTCGATCTGACGGCCTGCGCAATTGCCTCTGAATGGTTTAGCCTGATTTCTATCACAGTGCTGAATGTTTACGGTCCAACCTCTCATATCAGTGGGTTTTGCCGCTGTGAAGCCTCTGAGCACAAACTGAATTATAGCTGTTTATCAAGTCTTCTCATATAGTTCAGAGACCTGTAGCATTTATATCTTTACTCTTTTTTTTTTGGCTGACATGAACCAAACTATGTTAGCGACGCAAGCATTTTTCAGATCAGCACAGCAATACTGTCATGACCAGTGTTGAACATTGTTGCCAGTTCATTACCATTTCTAGATGCGATGTACAACAAATTCCCTTTCGCACTATATATTCTTTCTAGCTTGACCCACATTTCCGTAGCCTTTATTTTTCTTCACCAGTGTGCTTTTCTGTATTCCCAATTCACACCCAGTGCTTCCTCTGTCTTACCAGGCATCTGCAGCTGTGAGGGCCTCTGAAGAGCACCTATTCCAGTTTTGCACAGAAGTGTAGTCTGGGATTTGAAACGCAATAATGAGTAAAGAGGGAATCAGGGCACAGGCTTAGTAGAGTTCCGCCCCAAAACGGCACTAAACGTCCAAAACCAGATACTCCACTGTTACGTTCCTGTAAATCTTTAACATGCAAAATCATGACAATGTTGTTGGCTGCATTGATCATCCCTTGTTTTTTCCCCTCCTTACTTTAGCCTATATGTAGCATCACCAGGGCTATGACTAAGTGTGGTAAATTGCAGCATGAATTTTGAATTAACTACGGTTAATTTCTTGAAGAGTTCCAAGTGAAAATCGTGAGCAGTTTTGTATTTGTATTCTTACATTGTAACATCACTTAGTAAATACAGTATTTGTGTATATCTGTTCAAGCTCGTTTTGATTGCTGGTTTGTTTTTGTAAGTATGACCTGCTTACCTCAGTCGGAGATGTTGACAACACAGGCGTTCGTAGGAGACAAAGTGTCTCACAATTCAAATAACAGTAAACGCTTAGGCCTGCTTTGAGGTTAAAAGGATCCAACCATGGACTCAATTATGCACCATATGAGGGAATTGGAACAGTAGCAGGATGGGGGATCAAGAGGAAGATAGTCAAAACACAATGGAGTGGTTCTTATCAGCTCTTATTCTGCCTACTGCTTGCCTTTATGCGAATGAAATACAAATCAACTCCGATTCATTGGAGGAATGAAGGATGGGCTACTTTTTCCCTTCAGTCTTCAGTTTTATTCAGTCTGCATTTTATTTTTGAAGCTTCCTTGATAAGAGATGCTCCAATGGTTGTTTCTTACAGACAGATTGCCCTCTAAACAAGCAGCGTTTGAAATATTTCAGGTTTCTAGTCATCTTTTGTTGTATGTTTCTCACTGTGAATGTTCTGTGTATGGTGGGCTGTCAGTCATGCTCAAGTTGCACTGCTTGTCTCTGCTGACTCCTGTTCCTAAGGTCGACTGTTAAAACCGTGCTGGTTCCTCTGTGACCATGTTGCACATCCTCAGCCTCCTGACCATTACATCCACACGCTGTCACTTGCCATTAGCCTCTCGTTTGTTTGCCATTGTTGGTTTGCTCTCGTTTCAAAATCTGCCGCTCATTGACCACCGCTGTCCCATATCAAATCAGACCATCACATCGTACTAAATGTTAGCTTTGTATGTTTTGCTTGAGACTGTTCATTTTAGCAATATTTTTAAATCTTCTTCGATTTTGTACCATACTGCTAGAATTAGTTTAAGCAAAAGACATAAGATCCAGTTGGCTAAAGAGAAAACTTTCTGAACTCAAATATATTTCTTCCCGTGTAGCTGACTCCGCCTTTCAAGTTTCCGGACACCAAGGTGTGAATAGAAGGGGAATCAGGTGAAACGTTACGTGTGAGTGACAGATCGAGATGTCAATCATTCAGTGGCCCTAAATTGCGGCATGAAGAGAACAATCCCGTACTGTGATTACTCCTATTATGAGCTTAGACAAGGTCACAACTTGGAGGATTTGCTTGAGAGAAGGGCCTGTGCGCATCACGACTAATGTTACACAGCCACAGCATGCTAGTCTTTTATATGTTTGAATAAACTCACTATTTACTTGACTATTTAACAGCAAGAACAAGAGAGACCATCTCCGAGAGGTCGGCAACTTGGAATTTTGTGGAAAACTGTGAAAAACTGGAGTAGCATCCTAGTACTGAGCACTGTGTGAACAACTAACATTTTTAAAGTCCCATCCCCGACGCCCTCCCCCAGCCTGGGGTTTATTTAGACATGTGGAACTCCTGGACATGAAGACTGACTGCAGCAAGACAATGTACATTTAGGCTAATGGCACTGAACGTAGATTCGCCTCACTTTTACAACAAGGGAGTTAACATTCTGTTCACTATAGGGCAGCTTTTAGTATTGCTTGGATGGCTTATGTGACCTTAGAGGCAGAGCCAGTCAAAGTGCTATGAGTATGCCTGGAAAAAGAACACCTATATCAGAAATGATAAGCAAAAATAAACCTGATTTACCTTTGTAAATCAGAACACTGCATCTAAAAAATGACTATCGGAAATAAATTGACTTTGATTAAATACTCACACTGTGAAAAGGGAGGAAGGCAGCACATTTATAACTTTCACATTAGCAAGTTGTGTTATTTATGCTTAAGTGGAGCATTTCACTAATTTCTAAGCCAAAAAAAGCCCCCGTCTTCATAATCACTTGCACTGTTCTATACCAGTTGCACTTACATGTTAACACTTTTCTCTCCTAAAGCCTGAGACATCTTATTTTGTTTGCACTGAGTATTTGGGTATGATGTTAAGACTGAGACTTCATGCTAAAGAATTTGTAAAATGAACTGAACACTGGGCTATGTTAAAAGAAAATTCCTAATTTATGCTTCCCTACCCAAAATGTTCATGTCATGTAACAACTCTTTCAGTTAGTTGATAAGTCACATCAATATAAATGTCACTGACCTAATAAAATTTAAGGACATTTTCCTTTTTGCCAGTCCTTTAGCCATTTATGATTCTTGCACACTTCACACTTCATGTGTCTGGAATATTACAAAACTTTATTGGGGTCTTAAATCATACAGCTCTAAATAGTCACGCAAATAGCTGCTTGGCTGGTGTTACTCCACATTGTCTTCTGTATCTTAACCGGTGAATGATGACCAATTGGAGGAAGTAAAAAAAGCTGGATACTTTTCAAAAAAACATCCATCCAAATTAAAATAAGAAAAAAAACAGTGTGCCATCAAACGTGAATCACCGATGTTTAGATGGGGAAAACATTTAAAACAAGTGTAACATCAGAGTACTTATTTGATGGAGTCTTTGTTTGGGAAAGGTGGGCAGTCATGGCACAACAAGTCTTTCTATCGATCCGGCCGGGCCATACCGGGTCTAACGGACAGCATCATTGGCCGAGCGGGAGGTCGCATCATATGGGGGCCGGGCATCATTTGCATGTGTCCACCCATAGGTGGCCGCATACCTGGGCCTGCAGAAAAGAAATTCATTTTGGTTACTATCAACAGGCAGACCCTCTGCAGAAACTCGCCAAAGTAAAAGAAACTGTCACCCTACCTGGACCACCAGGCATCCCATGTGGAGGGGGCCCCATCATGGGCATCATTGGAGGACCACCCATTGGAGGGGCTGGTAGCATGCCCGGCCGAGGAGGTCCACCTTTAATGGAAAGTTCAATGTCAGTGAATGAACATAAGCACGTCTGCAAAATTCTGCTAGTATTCAGTTTCCCTGCAAAACAGTTAATGCAGTTTCCCTGCATTACAGTTAAGCCTAATTTATACTTTATAAGGGTCCGCTGTCATCTGACAGTTGGTGTTGTCACGCATTTGTAGTTCAGTGACAGGTGTCTTTAGCTTTCAGATGTTTTATTTATGGTACATAAATGGAGAGACAAAATAATTATGTTTTTCATTTAATCTTACTTGCAACAAGGTGGTTTATTTTTCCCCCTCAAGCCTTAATTTTAATTTCTAAGAGGACTGTACTTACTGACAGCACTCGTATCAAAGTATGTAAGCCAGTAAATTTTGATAGGTACATGATACTATTTCTAAATGGCAAAATTATTGTTCATGCATATACACTTTTTTTCCACAATATGAACTGCACACTTTAAATTATAAGCCCTGCAACTGATTTATTGCTTTCTAAATGTGTAAGAGCCAATGATAATGGAGTAAAGCCTAACATGCAGTGTTTTATAGGTAAGTAGAAAAACTAAGGTTAGTGGCATCAGCAATCATTTTCCTTTTAAAAATAATTTCCAGTACTTACTGATATTGGGATGTGGGAGGAGGGATCCACCTGGAGGAGGAGCACCAGGGAACGGTGTTGGGGGAATTTTCCCCTGTTGGAAAGCAGCCGCTGGAATGACATTCACAAAATGTTTAGTATGCAATGCAAGAGATATGGGTTCAAACCTTTCACCCAAACGTCCTCTGGAACAGCTCATGAAAAGGAGAATGCTGCTTTATGTGTGATGAGTATGTTGTTTTCAATATGCAAATAAAAACTAAAAATGATTAGTGGCAGATTTCAAGAAAAGCATTCCTTTCAGTGGTTGCACATTTAAATTAAACAGCACAGTACCACACTACAGTGTTGAACCCGCTATAACTGGCGTTGTACTATTTGGACACACTATTTAGTGTGGTAGTATGTGGTTTTGGATGCAGCATTTACTTGACTAGTAAATGTAACTGTTGAAAGGATGAAGTAGTACTCACTTGTTTTGTCTATAAGGCTCTGTGCTTGCTCCTCCATCCATTTCTGATAATAATCTTTAACATTTTCTTTATGTTTGCGTCCACTGCAGTGTGTCTTCCTTACTGAGGGCTGCAAAGGCAACAATCAAGACACGTCAAAGACGTTTTCCAAAGAAAAACATTAACATTAACTTAATTCTCATGAGGTCTAGAAACATCCATACATACCGAATCGTGTGTTAAGTATGTGTCACAGTAGTCACAGTAAAACCTGGAACAGAGGAAAAACACCATTGTAAGTCTGGTTTGCCAAATTGACGAATCCTTCTTTGGAAGCTGAAGCACAATTGTGATTTAACAATTTGAAATGTTAAAGCCACCTTAAATGGCTCCAGAATTTAACTGCTACACAATTTACGGTGGAACCGAACATTCAGATAAGAAGCCAACTCCAAGGGGAACTCCAGTGACTTTTTAAAAATTCTACATAAATACATGGTTGAGATGTAAACAGCTACTCAGTGGTTTGGTGTGAAACGCTCTGTTCTAGAGAAACTTACTCAGTCAGATCTGTTCACAGTGGTGGTGGCAGGAACCAGACGTCTGAAGATTTTAATGCCTATAAAAGCTCCCTCACAGAAAGTTATTACACGAAATGGTTATGAAAACGCTGCCTGATGTCTGACACACAGTTTTATGATAGTTTTGTGATAAAGTTTTGCCTTAAAATGTATTTTAATCAATTCATGTTAGAGGGGTGCACGCTGTAAGGCAGAACAGACCATAAAGAGACTTTTTTTCCGGTTTTACGACTATTTTACCATCACTGACTTTACATATATAATACAAAAACTCCGAAGGCACGTCTGTGTTCACTGGTGGTTTTGGTTCATAAACAAAACGGCTACATTTGTGTTGTAAACATCGTGACCGCTGGTTTCTATCACCACCACTGTAAAGAAATCAGAGTTTGTTAAGTTTCTCTACAATGAACCATTTCACAGAAGACCAATCTGAATGAGTCCGTTTACATCTCAACTGAATTATTAGGAATTTTTGAAAAAATGGTGGAACTGCCCTTTCAGCACCGTCGCTGAAGCAGCCATGCAAGTTAGCCGAGGCAGCTAACACGCTAATATAAACATTTTTGATGTACGTTAGCATTATAAGCAGGTTTGTTGCAACTATTTTCCAGATTATTAGTTCGATCTAGTCTTAAGGTACCCCAAAAACGACAGAACAGACCAAAACTGGTGAAAATGCAGAAACTAAAGCCGGTTTCTCTGACAAACACAGCCAGCATAACAACGGAAACACCGAGGAGCCGAACGGTAGCTTAGCTAGCATGCTACAATGCTATTACTCAGATTATTACCGACTTTCTGATCTCGTTAAGCGAAATATACCAACCTCATTCAAACACATACAATTCTACGTATTTTATGTATTTAAAAATAAGTAATAAGTTACAAAAACTTACTTCGGCATCTTCACGGAGAGAGACTGCGGCGCAGCAACCGGATCTCCAGTCTGTGAGGCTTCACTGGATCCTCTACCTGAAGACACATAAAAGACTCGCGAGCGCCGTCTGGTGACCTGGTGGAGTTAACCTACACACTCGAAAAGACGGTTCTTTAATAAAGCCAGTGGTTCTATTTAGAACCATGAGTTTCTACATAACAGTTCTAACAATAGAAGAACCTTATTTAGTGCTTTCGAAAAGGTTGACTGACATGGTGGTGCTGTGTTAGTGTGTGTTGTGCTGGTACGAGTGGATCAGGCACAGCAGTGCTGCTGGAGTTTTTAAACACTGTGTCCACCCACTGTCCAATCTATTAGACACTCCTACCTTGTCATTCCACCTTGTAAATGTAAAGTCAGAGACAATAGCTCATCTGTTTGTTGGTCATCCTCTAGTCCTTCATCAGCGGTCACAGAACGCTGTTGGCTGGATATTTTTGGTTGGTGGACTATTCTCAGTCCAGCAGTGACACTGAGGTGTTTAAAAACTCCAGTGCTGAGAATGATCCACCACCCAAATAGTACCTGCTCTGTGGTGGTCCTGACCATTGAAGAACAGGGTAAAAGGGGGCAGAGTAACAAAGTATGCAGAGAAACAGATGGACTACAGTCTGTAATGGTAGAACTACAAAGTGCACCTATATAGTAAGTGGAGCTGATAAAATGGACAATGAGTGTAGAAACAAGGAGGTGCACTTAATGAGGTGGCCGGCTAGGGTGTGTATTCAGTTGCACCTCATGTGTCCATCTCAGGGGTGAGCAATATGGCAATTAAGGTCCAATGAAACAGGACTAATTATGTTCTTTTTGTAATGAAACATGCAGTTGTTGAACATTCTTTAAGTACTGACAATTTCCACAATATGCTAAAAAAAGCATACAGTGATGTAATTTATCATAATAATGATAAGTATTGTCACATTGCCCACCTCTAGTCCATCACTTTAAAACACATTTAGATGTAAGGACAAACTCATTTGCAGTTGATATGCTGCATTTAACATGAATTTATTTACACACAAACAACTCAAAATCTTACAACTGCACGTAACTAGACTGAATCAGCAAATCTAGCGCCAAAGATTTCACCACAGCAGTTTCTTTGTAGCGTGGTGACACTTTACTGAAGGCGAACATTTGTAAGGATACAGGACACCTAAATAAGCCTTTCATGACAAACACACTAACACTTACAAACGACATAATGCTGCATAAACGTTTATGATGGCGTATTCCAGCAAGCAGCTGATTTGAAGTTATATCACTTGAGCCAGTGTTATGACAACTACTCCTTGTTGAAATAAGCCTTTGTAAATGTCCACACAGGTTTATGTCAATTTCCATGAACGGCTTAAACAGGTGTTGTGTAGCTTTCAGTAAGGTCTTACTAACTGATCAGTGTACGTCACACATCAATTATTTGTAGTAGGGATGGGCAATATGACAATATAGATCATTATCATGATACATTTTGTCACAATGCAATGCAGTATGCTTCTCTAAAAATGTTGAGTATATCGTCAATACTTATATGACACTGACAAACTGCTTGTTTCATGACTAAGAGAGCAAAATTAGTCTGGATTTAGCCCAACACATTAGGCCTAATATTGAACAAAAATCATCGTGTTCAGTTTTTGATAGTATTTTTTAAAATGTGGCACTACTGGTTCTTTTTTCACTGTCCAACTGATCAGATGAATGAAAAATAAATATTTTTGACATTGTGTATTGTGAAAATTTCTTAAAGGTACTGCAATATTATATTTTTGTCATATCGCCCACCTCCAATTTGTGTCCAATTATTTAGACTTTAGGAAGTCATGCCAAAACAAATAGCCTAATGGAAAAGATGTTATAATGATGCTTCATAAAAATACAGATAAGAATGCATTGGTCTTCAAAAAGCATGAAAATTTAGGATGATTTGGTTCCCTTTTTTAAAACATTCCTCACAGACTTGACATCTGCACATATGGAAAGAAGGAGTATTAACCATGCATAACAGTACAATTCACATACGACTGAATCCGGTGCAGCAGCTCCTATGAAACTACTGTACTGTACTGGATTTACTCCAATGTTTCCTAGGCATTAATAGCTTCATTACACATACTCCTTTGCATGGTTACACTGTTTACTGGTTAATAATATTATCAGTGGACCATACTGTAGCATTTTTGTTGACTCATTCTGAGAGAGAAGATATAACTTATTAGGAAAAACCATGGTTATTTTTTTTCCAATGTGGACACCAAAGAAGCTTTCAGGCAGTACTTCTTCCCTTTATCTTTTAGGTTCCATAGGTTTACTTTAGTAATAATAAAAAATAGCATGCCATCTGAATAAGAAAGCAGAGTAAGCAGATGTTTTATTTTAATTATGATCTAATTAATCAGTAGAGCAATACACATGACATTTATTTATTTCTCATTCAAATCTGAGCTCTGTCTGTTCTTCAGAGTCTATTCACACAGACCCTCAAACGCTTAAAAGAGTCCTTTGAAATAAGTCAAAAAGTGCTGACATAAAGTGGCCTGCAGGGTTCAATTCTGCATCAACCTCATTCTGAGCCTTCAAAACTCATAATTCTACCTTAATAAGGATGTAAAATGTCCACATAGTTTCAAGATGAAGAAAAAATACAGTGATAAAATTCAAAAATATCAGAGGAAATGTGCATTTTCTGTCCATAGTCCTGCTCCTCTTTCACCAGCAAACCAAAACATTGCAACAGGATGATGTCAAGTAATGACATCCCATCCAGCAGCTTATCCAAGGCCCAAAGCTGGTCTGAGCACATTGTCTGTTTATAAAACGGCTCTCAGAGGTTAGACTTGGGTCCACTGTTCACAGGAATGGCCCTGAGCTCTGTCCGCATGCACAGGTACTCGCCGATGACCGCCATCAGAGCTATGCAGGCCACATTGACCAGCCACCACGACAGGGCAACAGGGAGATGAGAATTATAGATCCAGCAGCCGATCATATGGAAGAAATGAACCGTAACTGTGAAGTCCAAGCACTGCTTCCCGCGACGGATGAAGAACCACAAACCCAAAGCACTGAGGGAGACCCAGAGATGGACAATTAGACCGGTGCGTTAAGTTGTACTAGTGTATAATGCTGCTTGAAGCTAGCAGTTTGCATATATTACATTTGTTCATGTTTCAGTAATGTTTATGAAAGACATCTGGCTTAAGGGTTTTGTTATTGCTATAGTACAATTAATTTATATTATTAAAATATAAGAAGCAAAACTGAATTCTATCTGTATTTCTGAAATGGTCACTGTAGGACATGTATTGTATGTCTATAGAGGCATAATAATTAAGGTATAATTATGAGGAAGTATTGTGGCTTTTCAAGTAGAGAAAACTTCAAATGGACAGTACTTACCACGTCAGAGAGTTCAGAATGAATGCCATCATAGACAGCCGTCCTTGTGTGGTTGAAAAACCAAGAACCTTAAAACAGAAAGCAGAAAGCCATAAAAATTACATGTACCACTGTCTGAAAATAAGCTTTTTCTGTAATCTCTATGGCTTCTCACTGAAGCAATTATTTTCTATTAAGCAATATATCCAGATTAAGAAGATGTTATTGTAACTATATACAATACACAGTGATTCTTATAATTTTGGAGCCACAAAACAGAGCCCTGCACCTCTGGGCTTGAGAAACTTACCTCATAACTAAAGATCTGATCAAGTGATCTGTTGGTCTGCACAAGGCCGTCTACACCCGCCATCCACAGCCCCAAGAAGCTGTAGTAGATGCACTGCATGAGGATAATTTGGGAAATAATGAGGACTGGATCCCAGATGTAGCTGCGGAAATGACTTGCCATCTCTGAACTGCAGAGAGGGACACCAAGTCCCAGGAGAACTCAACAAGAAGGTCACAGGCAGCCTGGATGAATGGTTTCACTCTGTCGCCCAACCTGGGCTCTGCCATAAAGCAGAGAGGCAAAAGAGACACAGAGAGAAAAATGAACTCACTGTTATAGTTTATCTAAGGTGGCCTGTAATTCTGGCAAAAAAGTATTTATTGCTATTTGTCATATAATAGCAAATTCTGTAGCATAGCTTTGCATCCTTTAGCCTTATCAGTTCAACAGAAATCATGATTTTGATTTTTTTTTATCTTTTTTGTGTTTTCTTTCATCACTGATGAAGAGGATAAAATACAATAGTGATATTCAGCTTCTTAGAAGAAACATTAGCTATAACATTAGCTATGGAGACAAATTTGTGCCAAACTAAAAAGAAGTCACAGTGGAAAAATATGAAATGCAATGCACACATGACATTACTGTTCCACAGTGACATGGAGAATATGTAAAACAACAACACTCTATTATATTGTTTGAACACCGCTTGGCCTCTTCACTAAAAAAAACAATGCATTAGGATTTGCATTTTAAAAACAAAATGCTGAAATCATGTCAGAATTGGATACAATCCACTTTAGAGTGCTCAGCTATATTGCTTTCCACCATGCAGTACTTCAAACCAATTTTCCTCACTGAAATGCAACACACACGACATTACTTTTCCACAGGTGACGTGGGATACGAGCCAAAATGAAAAGAAAAACCTTTACTACACTGTTTTCATGTTGCTTGACCTCTTTACTGTACTTCAAATGTATTTGCCTCATTGAAATGCATCCAAAGCAGTGAAATGCAGTGCACACAAGACTTTAACACACACATTTAAACAGTAACATGTGGAAAACAAGCCAAAATGAGAAGTTTGAAGTGCTACATAGTGGAGAGTAGTATAGTCGTGCCTTTATTACATTTCAAAGCAGGCTGTATTCACTTCTGACATGAATTCAGCATTTCATTTTTAAAATACAAATCCTCACTTCAGCAAAGAGGTCAAGCAAGGGGAAGCCAATGTAATAGAGGTTTGTTTTTCATTTTGCCATGTATTCCGCATATGACTATGAAACAGTCATATTGTGGGCATTGCATTTCACATTTTTCCACTGTAATGACTGCTTTTCAATTTGGCATGAATTCCTCTCTATACTAACAGGCTAGCAGAAAACAAATTCAAACAGCCAGCACTCAAGTCTCCACTCCAAAGCACTAAACTTCAAAAGTTCACCCCACCTTCAAGATACATCATCACATAGGGGTTTTACCTAGTTTTTAAATAGGAAAATCTTGCTGTAAAGACTATTGGGGTACCACTTTAGGATGCGAGCAGGCGTGTTTACAACATAGATGGATAAATTGTTGCATTTTTTATTTTTGCTGGAGTGCCCCTTTAAGAAAATAGCACGAAAACACTATCGACAGTTCACCACAAAAAACACAGCTCAATATTAAGCCTCTGTGAACCTACATAATAAATAAGTATTTAACTACTATTTTAGTATTGAGTAACACTGATGTCTTAAGTTTCAAAAGTGCTTATTTTTTATTTAACAATTAATTTTTTAAATAATTTTTTTATTTAACAATTTTAATTTAATTTTAGCGATCTGACCACTAAAATGGGGTCCCCACTATCAAGATCTAGGCTAGTCCCCTTAGCTGTAGTCCAGTCAGAGTGGTTAAATCGCCAAAGCTAGGTTACCTAATTCAGTTGGGTCATCTTAGACTTTGGGTAATGATGGCTGATTTTATTCCTCTCGCTAAATTATACGACCTCGCAAACGCAGAAGTTATGCTTGATTAAAATTCCCAAGTGCCGGTTTTTCAAAACACAGGGAAGCGTCAAAATACTAACGGGATTGCCTTAAAGGGCTTAAAAGGGAATTCCACCACTTTTTCAAAATTTCCCAGACTCAGTTTTCTTTACAGTGGTGGTGATAGAAAACAGGGGTCGCCATGTACAGAACACAAATGTAGCTGTTTTATTTAACGTTAATATCCAAAACCACCAGTGAACCAACGCGTGTCTTCTGAATTTACATACGTAATGTTCATGATAGTAAAATAGCCATAAATCTGAAAAATATAAGTTATTTGGGGACTATACTGCCTTCTAACGCACTGCATGTACCCCTCCGCCACGAATGGATTAAAATAAAGGGATTAAAATACACTTGAAGCCAAAACGTTATAACAAAACTATCAAAATATATAACTTTCTGTGAGGGAGGTTTTACAGGTGGGCGTCTGGTTCCTATCAACACCATTGTGAAAAGTTACTCTAGAGCGAAGAAGATTACTCCAAACCACACTGAATTACTTTGTTGACATCTTAACCATTTAATTATGTAACCTAGGTTAGCAAGAATTTTTCGGTGGAGTTGCCCTTTAAAGGTTTTCAGTGTAGAGCAACCTGAATGTGTAGCTTGTGTAACATTAGCTGTTTACTACCTTCTCGGAAAACGAACTTAGTTATTAAGTTATTGCGACCCTCCACCTTACAGATAATAACAGTCAGCTACATGTCATCACGATCTGTTCCAGTTATGCTTTAAATGTAAATAAGACACCAGATGACCGCGCTGTTCGCGTTAACTAGGTTAGCCGTCACGTTAGCCGAGCTAAACTGCTACGGTTCGCCCGAGTCGGGGAGCCACGCTTACAATTAGCTAACAAGCTATAAAAGGACTGATTACCTGAAGCTTTGGTGACATCTGATTTGGACACGAAGACAAACCCCTCTGAGTTCTAACACATCCTGTCTAATCACCGGATAAAGACGAGACTGGAGAAGAAGAAGACCGATTATGTCAACAACACCAAACCAGCCTTCCGCCCGGCGACGCATTTCAAAATTAAAGTTCAAATAAAAACTAAAAAAAAAAAAGGAGGTTAAAAGGAGATATGACAGAGGATGAATTAACTAATAAATATGACAAGAATGTACACGTAGAACTTGACCATAAAAGTTGAAATAAAGACTAAAAATAAAAATGATTTTGTTAAAAGGAGACACGACAGTGGATTAATTAATAAATATGACAAGAACGTACACGTACAGCTTCAGCATAAAAGTTCAATAAAACTTAAAATAGAAAATGATTTTGTTAAAAGGAGACACGACACTGGATTCATTAATAAATATGACAAGTATGTACACGTACAACTTGAAAATAAAATCATTTTCTAAAAATAGAAAATGATTTTATTAAAAGGAGACACGACAGTGGATTCATTAATAAATATGACAAGAACGTACACGTACAGCTTCAGCATAAAAGTTCAAATAAAAACTAAAAATAGAAAATTATTTTGTTTAAAATGAGACACGATACTGGATTCATTAATAAATATGACAAGTATGTACACGTACAACTTGAGCATAACGTTGTCTATGTGGAAAGCACAAACCCTAAGGCAGTTAACCTACATTCAGTGAGTGTTTTAGTTTCTTATGAAAAGTATACATTTTTTAAAAACATACAGATGGCATCCAATGAACCAGTTTCTTGTTAAATTTAAAAAGGATATCTATATGAGCTGTTCATCCTGTGATGTATACTCAGAAAAACTTCTCCACCTGTTTTGCCACTGTATCCACACACACACACACACACACACACACACACACACACACACACACACACACACACACACAAAAAAGCTGTGGAGAGATATATGTAGAATGATCATTGATTGTACTGACCCTGAATTTCATCTTTGCTTTGTTAATATATTGTTTGGCTTCAGTCATCATAAAAGTAACAAAATTAAAGAATATTATATTATTAATTTGATCATCCCTTCGGAAAAAAATCATATTTGCAAATTTAAATATATCAATCCCAAGCTGGAATTTCTCAAATTTTGAAGTTAAACAATACAGGGCGGATAGCGCTGTCGCCTCACAGCAAGAAGGGCCTGGGTTCGATTCCCCGGCCGGGCGACCGGGGTCTTTGTGTGGAGTTTGCATGTTCTCCCCGTGTAGAACATGCATGCTGTTTCCTCCAGGGTACTCCGGTTTCCTCCCACAGTCCAAAGACATGCTAAATTGACCCTAGGTGTGAGTGAATGTGTATGTCTGTCTGTCTGCCCTGCGATGGACTGGCGACCTGTCCAGGGTGTATCCTGCCTTCCGCCCGATGACAGCTGGGATAGGCTCCAGCACTCCCCGCGACCCAGAAGGAGAAGCGGCTTAGAAGGTTGTGTGTGTGTGTGTGTTAAACAATACATAAGTATTGTTACCCTCCCCAAATACAAAAAACCTGCTATAATAATAAGTTTATCACTGCTGTTGGAAGAAAACCTTGTATGTCCATTTTTGTTGTTTTTCAGTTTTTTACATAATTTGAAAATTCCTGTTGTCCTTTACATTGTATTTCAAATTTCATGAAGAATGGACTAAAAGAAACGACCCAAAATGACTTGGAAAAATGTCTGGTTCCATTAACTTACATTAAAAGAAAAGTATGTTTTTCCTTCTCCTGTAAAATTCTCATTTTGGAGATACAAGGTTTTCTTCCGACAACAGCGATATACACATTACCTAATATATTTTTGTAAAAGCAAGTGTTCTATCCCCTGGCTCCTTTCTTTTTCCTTTTCTGTTTAAACCAATATAATGTTGTTTGATTATTAATTCTAAATATTATTTTCACATTACTGTAATTGTACTAAATGCACTCCAATAATAAGCAGAAAAAAAGTCAGAGCAACATTTAAAAAATTAGTGTTTTATTTAATGTTAGTGAAATACTGGGACTAAAATAACACAATGTTAAGAAAATATCAATGCGAAAAATATGTTAAAATATATCAAATATGGCAAATTTTGTGTTTTTAATTTTGCCACAATTATATTTTGTCACAACATGAAAAGCATTCCATGTTGCCATGCTTGTTTTTCAGTCTCACCACTTTGAAATGCAGCACAGGCATATTATCCTAATTCATGCCCTAAGATGGTGCAAGAACTTTAAGACTGGGCCTCATTCACCAATATCTTAAATTTGTCTTAAATTTGTTCTTAGTAAAAGTCTTACCTAAGTACCGAAGTCTTATCTTAGAACAAATCCCAAATAAGAAAATCTGATCTTTGTGAAAATCAGAATCTTTGTGAAAACTGTATAAGTGGATTGATGAATGGTTGGTGAATGAGGCCCATTTTTAATGATTTTCTTCTTAAGTATGAAAATTATTAGTGGACCATTTCTCAGCAGGAAAAGAAATTCCCCCCAGAGTGTCTGCACTGACCTGCAACCTTCAGGAAATTAACCATCAGCTTCACTGCAGTTCATAAAATGACTTTTATACATCAACATATTTCCTGATGAGATAAATTCTGATTCCTGCAATTTGGATAGTCTCCACTAGAGGTCTCAAACTAGAGTGAGTGGCTGCTGGAGACTCAGATAGTGACCAGACTCAGAGACTGCAGTTCACACTTGCAGTGTTTCGTACTTGTGAGCTTGTTTATTGTGTTAATAGAGTAAGACTAGAGCAGGGACAGAACGGGACTGAAATAAGGGGGAAATATGAAAGGAAATAGATTTAACTAGGGCAACTAGTTTGTTCGTTCTGTCACATTACCCTTTACCTCTCCTGGATTGCCCAAGGTAGGCAATCGGGAAAAGCAATCTGCCATAACATTCTGGTGTCCGGTTCTGTGACGAATTTGAAAGGCAAAAGGCTGCATTGCCAAATACCACCTAGTGATGCGTGAATTGTGATCTTTCATTGAATTTATCCAAGTCAGGGCTTTGTGGTCAGTCTCTAATATGAATTCCCTCCCCAGCAGATAATAACGAAGGCTCTCCAAGGCCCATTTGATTGCAAGAGTTTCCTTTTCCACAGTAGAATATCATGTCTCTCTCTGCAGCAGCTTCCGACTAAGGTACAACACCGGTTGTTCTTGGCCGTCAGTACCTTGTAGCAGGGCAGCTCCAATTCCAACTGCTGAAGCATCTACTTGCACTGTGAACGGCTTGGTAAAGTCTGGGCTGATTAGAACTGGTTTGGAACACAAAGCATCTTTAAGAGCTGTCAATGACCTCTCACAGTCTTCTGTCCAGCAGACTGGATTCCTTTTAGACTTGAGGGTCAGTCCAGGGGCCACAGTCATAGTGAACTGTGGGATGAGCCGGCGATACCATCCGACCAAGCCAAGGAAAGACTGTACCTGTTTCTTGGTGTGAGGTCTGGTACTATTTCTAATAGAAATATATATATATGGACACAGGACACAGGATGCTGCTCACAGGATGCCGTTGGCTGGATATTTTTGGTTGGTGAACTATTCTCAGTCCAGCAGCACTGCTGTGTCTGATCCACTTGTAGCATGTTAACACACACTAACATGCCACCACCAAGTCTGTGTTACTGCAGTGCTGAGAATGATCCACCACCCAAATAGTACCTGCTCTGTGAGGGTCCTTGGGGGTCCTGACCACTGAAGAACAGGATGAAAGAGGGCTAACAAAGTATGTAGAGAAACAGATGGACTACAGTCTGTAACTGTAGAACTACAAAGTGCACCTATATGGTAAGTGGAGCTGATAAAATGGACAATGAGTGTAGAAACAAGGAGGTGGTCAATCAACTTTACTACTGGCATCATTCATTCCGGTCGGTAGCGTTCTCTTGGCATCCTCCAAAATCCAGAGTACTGAGTAATTTATAGTAAGATAAATTACTTATTTGTGAAGAAAGGAATCCACTTTTGAACTCAGTTACACTTCAGGACATTAAGATTCAGTTTCTAATTTCATGTTATTGAAATTTAGTTCCTCATTCCATGTTTCGGTTTAATTTAGTTCCTCATTCCATGTTTCATATATTTCGTATTACCCTGCGATTGATCACACTTCTGACTTTTGATATCAACAGTGCACCAAAAAAAGAGAAGAATAGAGCTTAACAAGCTTCACTTCCTATGCTGATAGATGCTGGATGTACTAAGAAGTTCCACAGCAGCTCTATAATTTAAGTCAGTTCTTGAGCAGTTTTTTGACCTGCTGTCTTTTATTTTTATAAAGGTACTTTTACTTTTACTTGAGATGTAATTTCACTGAAGTAACAACACTTTCACTGCAGTACAGGTTTAGTCTACCCACATCTGCTGATGTGTTTCCAAACTGTGTGGAGAGCAATGTGATGACCTGTGTGGCAGTCATGTACAGCAGTGGGTCTGGGCTGTAAGAGAGGGTTTTTTTTTTATCTCTACTTAGTAAGTTTTGTTGTTGTCAGTTTATTGAATCTGCTTCGTCCCAAATTAAAAAACATGACTCTTGTTTAAAAATGGCAGATGTTGTTAAATACTAATACATGCCAACCAAACAATTCAAAGACATGCTATGCCCACAAAACAAGTTATCTGTAATGTCATAGAACAGGGTCATATTTCTATGTGCAGGTCAGTCTTGTGGGGGTCAGACATGATCTTGTAATGAGAATACACATCTGGGGACAATCTGCTATACCTGCTTTACTATGCTACCTTTGCGTGACATGAGCGATGTGGCAGCTTGACTGCTACAGCTCACATGTGCTGGTTACATACATATAGCAGTAGCACTGCAGAGCAATTGAACAAGAAAGTTCTACAGACACTGTCTTTCCAAAAGATAGATAAATAGTCAAGCCACATTGCTTAATAAAAATATTGTTTGTAGAGGAGCATGGTGCTTTTGTTTGCCCTTGACAGCATTGTTACTCGTGCTTGGGCAAATTGTTTCAAGCCTAGTAGACCTTCATGGAAAAATAACTAGTATTTCGTTTGATAATGGTCATGAATCAAAGTTTTTACTCAATTTTCTTTTCATTTTCATTGAT